AACCTATATATTTTGACACTATTAGTGTTCGTCTAATTTAAATCCCTTTCCCCTCGTAAATTATTTCTAAATACGTCACTGGTGTATACTGAAAAACACATATTATTGATAAAAATCCCATATAATTTTTGTAGTTTTCAAATGTTAAGATTTTCAACGGAGGCATCCAGATACCCAAAACACCTTCATCTCCACGGTTGAGCCACTAGACACTATAATGAAGGCGGTTAGATAAGTTGCCTATTTTATAAACTAACTAATAATATATTGTACTATAATTATAGTTATTCGAATTGAATTTCAGTGCATTTTATTGAATAATATTATAAATTATTTACAAAATAATAAAATAGATCTAAAACTGATCGTTTTTTTTTTATTTCTTTAGTTTACACTTTAAACAATATTATGATAAATTTCAAATGCAGTATAATTTTCCCGCTTCGACGAATATATCCAAAATACGTCTGCATAGTGCCTCGCGAATACTGCATATATTCTGGCCATCAACAGCTTACAATATGCCGACCAACACCAGCGCCGATGATGTACTCGGTAACGTACTAATTTGGCAATATAGGTGCACTACGGTGGCTCTCCTATGTAATAGTATATAATATAATATACCTAATATACCTAGTGTGTAATATTAAACGACTATACCAAACCTATATAGGGAAAACACGTAGGTATATAATAATATTTAGTATATTTCCGAATAGTTCCGAATACTATCGATAGTTTCCGGTAGTTCAGATGAGCCATGAGCGGCGTAGTTATGCGGGAGAGATGATAGGGGTACCACAGTCTTTTTTGTAAAAATGTTATGCGCCTATCAGTAAGCCTATTTGCAATTAAAAATCAATTCTGGGCGGTGTATTATTATAGTCGTATGTTTTCCCATTTACCCAAGGTAAGCCAGAAATCGACACAAACAAAACCTGTGTATCGACAATTGTTGTCAGTTTTTAAATTCTATAAAACAAAACTGTATAAGGAATCTAGAATTATATTCATATAAAGTAACATCGAACGATAAAGCCGTCGTTCTCTTAACCTGTATGATCATATTTAGTTTGTTTTTTTTTTAATTTAAAAGGTCTGAAAAAACACCAACAATTCTAACATGTTCTAAAAGTAAAATTGAATTTCACATAATATTTTGAGATTCTTTGTTTTTTTTTTTAAATTTTCTACAGCAATAAATAACAATATTACAAGAAAATCATTTACGTTGCGTATGTTAAAATGTTTCCGACTTCAAATTTATGACTTTTTAAGATAATGATATTATAATTTAAACCGTGTACCTACTACACCCTTACATTAATTTTTTATTTATACCAAACACGTTGCATGTCTACGTGTTTTTTATGTATTTTAAAATTATAATTTAATTTTTAATATTCATTTTTTTTTGAAATTTAAAAAAAAAATGAATAAAAACCTATAATAACAAAATGGGTGTCGAATTTCGTAATTCTGCTTGTAGACGGCGCCGAGTCGAACTACATTACGGTATATTTAATACGGTAGGTCTTCGAATAGTTTTCACTTCCATCGAATAATTGGTATGCGATCGACCGGATCAACTATAATGTCGATTATAGTTCTTACAGTGACTGTACTTGTATGTACTATTATAATACGTATGCCTGGGAGTTCGCGTCCGTCGCTAATGAATAATATTCTAATAATATACAGATACGAATACAATGAAAAATGAATGTGTGATTTGACAGAAAAAAAAAAAAAATAAACAAATAAAAAAAGATGACTATCGGCTCGATTGACGACGTCTGTGCGCGCCTATATATAATACTATTGTAACCCCTCTCCGTACACACACACACACACACACACACACGCACGCAAATCGCGAACGCACAAACACGAATAAAGTATCGAAGGTCGCGGATAGGTGTATCGTATCGTATACATAATAATATTTTACGTATACATTTTTTTTATCGGTTATATAAAACGCAAACTAGGTGTATGTATATTATAATAATATTGCACACGGCCGTGTGCGCCTATACAGACGGAACCGTTTGCGCTCGCACACGTTGTCTCGTGTGTTTTGCCGCGTCAATACAATGACGTGTGTTACGCAGGTATATAATACAATATACAATAATAGCGATATTATCAAGTAGGTATATTACGCGTACGGTTACACCGAGACGTCCGCGACTAGAAAATATCATGGTGCTTATGTTTTAACACAATAATAATAACACGACGACGGCGGCGGCGGCGGCGGCGGCGATATTTCGTTCGGAAGAACCGAGGGGGGAAATGAAAAAATGTATTTGAAAAAAAAAAAAACCCGTGTAAAAAACCCTAGACGGCCGTATGCATAATAATATTATTATTAAGTAAGTATATTACATGTATATATAATAATAATAATAATAATATTGTAACATGCCCCGCGGGTCCAAGACCACTATTATAATAGTAATAATAATATACCTATAGGTACGTTCGTGTTCTCGAGCGACCGGTCGTGTGTAACAAAAAAAAATAAAAAAAAAAAATATATATACACACACGTACGTATACGACATCGCCGCGAATATTGCCAAATAGTTCTATCCGGTGCTTCGTAGGTATAATATTATATGATATTATTATGTATACCTACCTATCTACCTACCTACCTGCATGCATACGTATAATAATATTATTCGTATAAAGCCGCGTCCACACCCGAGTAAAAACGTGTAGAAAACGCGTTATAATAAACGCACTGCGCTTTTCGCACGACAACCTCCCCTCCCCCCCCGTCCTCCCCCTCGCGCATATTGCTACGACGTCCGTGAACGGTGCCGGGCGGGAAGGATAACGACAATGTAATAGTGTTATAGGGGCGACCCGCGGATGAACTGCTGTAAGCCGCTCGAATATAATATTGGTATTTTTTTTTATTTTTTTTTAATTACACCATCGAAATCGATTACGCACGGATATTGCTATGAACATGTCCGCAGGCGCGTATGGCTTGCCGGTTGACGGATACAGTGGCGGCGCCAAGCGTTTTCACCTTGGATCGCCGATTTAGTTTCGTTTACGCACCCAACCGCCCCTACCGAAAATACCCCCGAAAATCTACGAACCGGGGATAAAACCCGAGTTTCCTTGGGAGTCGGGGGGGGAGGGGTCTTTGATGGAAAAAACCCCCGAGGAGACATCTGGTACAATTCATTAAACGTAACAAATTTCCGCGGTCTGAAATTCTCTTGTCTGACTTTTGTTTTGTAAAAACATATTAATTTTTGATATATTTCTGAAAGCCCGAGCCATTCACGACCCACCCAACCGTTTTTTTTTTTTTTTTTCTGTGAATCACGCGATTCAATTATACCTCCTTCGCGCCGCCACTGGACAGATAAGTGATGGCGAAAAATTCCGCGTTGTAAACGAAACCCGTCCAATCATTTATAACGTTTTCCGCATGATGACCGCATTGTTGCTCTGCGGGTGCAATTATTTTACACGTACCATGCAGAATATTCAGACGCATTTAGTGCGGGGTTTTCATGTTTACACGCACTCTGCCAGTGTTTTGTTCCAAGCAACGGCGAAACGATTGCTTCTCGTTTTTTTTTTTTTTCTACAGATTCAGGGACGGGTGAGTACTCAATATGAACATGATATTAGTACTCGTTAAATACGAATTTAGTAATAAATGAATGATAACATATCATGGGGATATCTCGGAAAATATCGGTAAGCGGTACCTTGGGTTAGGTAGATCATAGGTTGCTTCTGGGTTTAGTTTAGGTTCGTCGCCGGTTTTGGGTGCAGTGATAATTGCACGAGCTCCTTGAGACTTATCTTTTATCTTGAACAGTCGCAAATCGTCATCAAAGATAAAATAATCGACGGCTGTAAAAATCGTGTTCAGCGTGATTATCATATTGTACGATACGACTGTACTGAGATTTGTTTTGGGTAACATCGTTTGTCCGCGTTATAGGTGCAACCGAGCATAATGCACATATTATTATGGATACGTTATAATTCATCCATAACTGTTCTAGATTCACAATATATCACTCGATATCGCGGCTGCTCGTTTTCTCTCTTGAGCCACAGTCTTACATTAACATGGCTATGGTAAAAATAAGACGAGCGGAATATCGTCATAGTCCCTCAGGCGTATGTAATTTACGCCAAAAATAACCCCAAAAAAAAATATATGTACGTAATTTGCGCCACATTTAAAAATTAATTTTGGTAATTTGTGCCATTTTTTAAGGTTGTAGTTTACGCCACATAAAATTAAATTAAACTAAATAAATAATTACATTATGTAATCTGCGCCATTGCTCACCTTATTAAAATTGTAATTTTCGCCACTTTCAAATAACTAAAGACATTTTTTCTTTACAGATTAACATAATGTATTTTTAATTGTTGATCAATCAAGTTTATTTTATTAGTTAGTATTCTATGTTTATTAACCCGTCGCCGGTCGCGCGGGGTAAATAATCTCCAAGTTTATTTATAAATACGTGTTTTTCCGTAATTGTCTGTAATATAGTTTCGTAATTCCGATTAGCTTATCAAAATCGCATCATAATTCGATAATGACATTTACTTCATCGAAAACTATTTTAGTTTGTTCGGCGCATGCGAGTCGAGAGTAGTTTATTCGTTTGGACAATATTTACCCCGCGCGACTGAAGATTAATTTATTATTTTGCATTTTTTTTTTCAATTTGATTTTCTCTTGATTATTATTATAAAAAACATGGACGAAATTGAGAGACGGCGGAATTGAGTGTCTATTAGAAAGCACAGAAGAAGATGATTTATTAGGAGGCTTTTCAAATGATGATAATGATAATAATACACCAACATACGAACCTCATGACCAAAATACGGATACAGAACAGTCAATTTCTAGTGCAAGTTCTATCGGAAATATTTCTAATGAATCAGATTCTGAATATTCGTACCATGAATCTGACGATGATTTACCTATATCTATGAGACGTAAATTTTTTATTGGAAAAGACGGAACAAAATGGAATAGAAAACCAAATGTTCGTGTAAGAATCGCGAATTCTAATAAAGTTACAGAAAAATCAGGAGTTAAACTTATAGCTAAAAGTGCAAAACCAATTTTGGAGTGTTGGATGTTATTTTTTTCAAATGGTATGTTGGAGCATATAGTAAAAATGACGAATATATTTATTGAAAAAGTTCGACCTAATTACAATAGAGAAAGAGATGCTTCGGAAACATGTGTTCGCGAAATTAAAGCACTTTTGGGCATATTATATACAATTTATATTTATACAAGTTAATTTTTTTCAAAAAAATTTAAAAATTGTTTATCATTTATTATTTTATTTTAGGAGCAATAAAATGTAATCACAGATCCACTGAGGATCTTTGGAAAATATATGGGTGTGGAGTAGATATTTTAGCATGTGTTATGTCGGAGCATAGATTCCGTTTTTTACTTCGTTGTATACGATTTGATGATATCCGAGGAAGAAACATAAGCCTATATGTAGAGATCACTTGATAGAAATTTGCCCAGATTGTTTTACATTATAATAGTATTGTATTACCTTACCGTTTTTGTTATTTTTTAATTTTTATTCATAAAACTAAAGACCCATATGCAATTTAAATTGTATTTATGTATATTAATTATAAGTATTATTAGTTATAAAGTACCAACTAAAATTAATTTACTAAGTATTTTTCATATTATGAAAAATTTTTACCCCGCGCGACCAAAAATAAAAAAAAATTACACGACCAGTGACGGATTAAATAGGCAATACAATTTCGGTTAGTAATAAAACATAAAAAAAAATTCAGTAATATTATCTTATAATAAAATGTATATAAGTATACGTATTTTATGTATAATTTTTTATTAGATTAGACTTATATTAGACGTAATCGATTTCGTCTCTACATATTATTAGTAGAACACAAGAATATTAAATCGATTTAATATCAGAAAATTATTATCAGCTGATGAATTCCAATAATTGAAGTTGCAAGTGTGTCGCAGATTACATATTCCATTTCGTTTTCTGTGCTGGCGCAAACTACCAAAATTAATTTTTAAATGTGGCGCAAAATACGTGTTATATTAATATATGTCGGCGCAAATTACGTACGCACTTAAATGTACCTGTTGGTAGCGCAAGTTACAAGTAATAAAATTGGCGCAAAATACCATCTCCAAGTCCCTCAAATAAATTGTGCGCGTCCTCAAATGTATCGGACGTCGCACGTGCATTCGCTAAACGCGTTCGCATAAAATCGGGGGGGGGGGGAGAATCAAGTCGTTTGTCTGCTGTACGAATCGCCGCACGGGTTTAACGTTTACCGTACGAACTGCTAATACCGCGTTCGGGTAAGCTGACAATTTGATCCGGTTTTTGTGTAGGGGGGGGAGTAGGGACATTTTGGTCCTTATTGTAAAAAAAATCTAATTTTCTAACCCAATCAAAATGTCCCCGTGGACATCATGATCCGGGGCGACATTTCGATGCGGTTTTTTTCGAAGGACAAATAATTTTTACTTTTCTAACAGGATCCAAGTCCTAGATACGGATTAAAGTGTTGTTCCCGCCGGATCGAAATGTCAAACAAAATAATACAGATTCTCTACAGACAACGCATGCGAGTATTAAAAATAATGTTAAAATAATTACGATAAGTTTGTACGAATATATAATATATGAAATTGTAAATGAAACATGTAGTTGCTTATTGTAAGAGTCGCGTAAAGGGGATTGTGGGGGGAACAGCCCGCATGGGTCTTTGATAGGTCCGTAATTTAAGCGCTCCTAAAGTCGGTGGTATGCGCCCACATGTGAGTGTGGGGTGAAGTCGCATTTAAAGTTTATATACGCATAAAGTTATCGAGAATATAATAATATAGGAGAAGTCGAGGACCTGTTGATTACGTGGCATTGTGTTCCGGAGATGTACGAAAGGGGAATTTTGAACTGACGCATTGACGGCCGGAGTGAGGATTTGTCGAGTTCGTCTCCGACGGCGGAACGTCCGGTGAAAAAGCGGTATACGGTATACGGTCGTACACGGTTACCGAGACAGACCAGCCGTTTGAATTCAGTGGCCGAACCTAACCTAACCGAGTGCCCGAATGCGCTCAGGTGTGGACGCGCCTTAATATCATTATCGTCATTATTATATTGTTATTATTATACACAGGTATTATAGCATGGTGGCAACACGTTCTGTTTTCTGAACGAGATGGGGGGGAAGGTAGGGGGAGAGGGGTTTTGAACCGCGCCGGCTATTATAATACGACGTTGCGCGAGCTCCGACTATTATACACTAACCGGTGTCGGCGGCGGCGGCGGCGGGAGGGGTTTTTTACGAAACGATTGTCTCACGACTGTGTACGAAAAACGGCCCGGGCGCGCACGGGGAAGGGGTGAGGAGATAGGATTCGGAATATAAATTGTCTGCACGTGGTATTCGTCTATAATAATAATATTATACGAGTGTAGAGTGTAATACCGCGTGATGTAGACAAAAAAATAAAAAATAAGACAAAAAAAAAAACCTATACCTAACCGGGAACAGGTTGCGTAACCGCGCGAGACGACACGACGTTCTTGGAAACGGCGCGACGACTACGACGTCGACGAAGAACGCCGGCGCGGCGACTTGTGTTACAAAACTTTTTTTTTCGCCTAGATTTAGACGGATAGGTAAAAAAAAACAAAAAAAAAAACGAGAAAAAAAAACGAATGCCTTTGTTTGAATATTATTTTATTATTGTGCGACGTTCGGAGAGACCCGCGCCGCGCGCATATATTATTGTTTTATCATACGTATAGGTTTATATTATTGTATAGGGGGACAGATATTTTTCTATTTTTTTTTTTTTTTTTATATATACATATATATATAATCATACGCTTTTGAGTATAATATTTCTGTCGGTTGGGCAGAATCGAAAAAAAAAACAGCTAGGTATAATATAGTTTATTAGGTACCAAAATGTGTTTTACGACCGAACATTTCCGCAGTACATATGTATAAAATTGTGTTTCGCGTGTTTTCGGACGTGTTTCTTAGGATTTCGTAGATTTTTAAGGCGTATTTTATTAGGGCGCACCCTCAAAATATCCTGCAGCTGGAAATATCTCGTGTCCATAAAAAGTCCTTATTACACGTGCGTTTATTAATTATACATTGTGTAGTTCGTGTAATAAAAACTACACGCGCATTAAATACACGAATGGACAATTTTATCATCCGCGTGTTTCGCATTGAACTATTTTCTTCGTCTGGTTTTCAACCAGACGGAACGCCGGATTAATTATTGATAATGAACCTATCTCGTTAATTTCGTCGTCTCGAACCCCGGCCGTGTTTATTGGTTGCCAATCAAATAAATACAATTATCGAGAATAATTCGTCACGAGTCTAACCTTATTGATCATCGGGTCGGAGAGTCGGACCGAACAATATTGTCCAACCGCTTTACTGTCCATTCTGTATATGGATACGTAAATATCTTAAAGTACACGTGTAGACGTGTAGTCTTTATTACATGGATCAATGCACGTGCATGTCAAATACACGAACTTCGTGTATACGTGTATTTTGAGTACACGTCTGAAACCGTTGCCTCTAATATAATGCATAATATAATATTAAAAATATGTCGAGGTAATTCCCTTGTATAGATATACATTTAGCTATAACTACAAATAAAATATCGAATAGGAATAATAATCATTATTACTGTAACGTTTTTTATCGTTTAAACATTTTATTCGTTGGAATTCAAAATATATTTTTACGCGAAAACTTTTGTTTTGCATTTTCAAACACGAAAACCCATGAAAATGAGGATATTTTTAATACTGTTTTATTACTTTGACCATGGGATATATTTAAGAGAAACCATATTTTAGACGTTTTTCTAGTTTATCTCTACCTACACTAAATCATATTAACTTTGGAACTCAACAAATCGTGAACCCCATGTTCCGGCATTAATAAATATGAACAGGTGAGCTGATGACTTTATTTCGTTTCGCTTAAACGCGTTGTTATGGGTTTTCTTTAATATTTTATCAATGACGCCGGTGTTTTTATTTTGTATGACGTAGTTACTTTCAGTTTTCTTTCATTATAAGAAAATATTATAAACAGCGTGTCGTTTTATAAAGTAAAAGATATTCTAATTTCTTTTTGGCAATTTTAAGCGCATAAAAACGTAATTTTTAGGGCCGAAATAATTGTTCACCTAATATTGGTTTATATGGAGAAGAAGAGGTTTTTGAAATGTAAATTTCGGTGAAATATAAAACATATCTAAATCTAACTTACACGCACATTTTGATGTTCTCTACTCCTATATTTTGTATTACCATAGAGTCTTGATTTTTTTTTCTCATGTTGTAATATGTAATTCGATATATTGAAAGGATACACCTATATTATAATATTCAATATAAAATATCGCGAGCGAAGCGATCTCATTTTGTTTGGCTATTTTATTTTTACAGTGTTCATCGTTAATAATTTTTTTATTGTGCTATGCTGCAGTAGTATATTATGGAGTTCTGCGATGCGTATACTCTAGAAAAAAAAAACAACTTGCTAAAACATCGCCGCAGTCATAAAACGGAATTATAATATTTACGACGAAAACACGTATATGGTCATTATTTATTGCAAATTAAAAAAAAAAAAAAACTGTTACCAACATAATTTCGTAGACAGTATAACTGCAAAACGGGTTCGGTTTAAATATTCGAATCCCTGAACACTGTACAGTATATAATATTTTATATACATGTATATTTATTTTAAAACTCTTCTTGATTAATGATTTTTAAGTAGGTACCGAATAATTCCACAAAAATAAAAAAAAAACGAACGTGCACGATACGCAAAAAGATAAGTTATAAATCGTTCTTTTTTTTTTTTTTTTTTTTTTTATATACAACAAACCGTTTAAATAATATTGAGTACAGGTGTGGGTTCCATATGGGTATATCATCTATACCTAGCTGAAAAGTTAATTTAAAATATGGGATTTCATTATTTTAACGAAAGTTATTTCTCATTATTTTCGGATAAACTTTAATACCCAATAATTAATTTACAATTATATTTATTAATTTATTCAGAACCCGGAACAAAAACTAATTTGATAGATAATAATAATTGGGAACAGTGAAGTATTTAGAATTTCGTTGGAGTATATACGATTTAGCCAAGAAGGAAGACATTGAATGTGAAAAAATATGTATTATAATACAGTATATTATACTTCAACAGAATTTTTGGTTTGTCAATCAAAATTCTGAATTTTTATTTTTTTCTCTTATTCAATTTCAATATATATTTTATACTGGTACATTATATTATTTATGTTTAATTTATAACCACTTACCATTTACACTTCTGTATTTACATATTTTTACATTCGTTTTGTCCAGTTACAATGGATTCTAATGTTTATGTATGTAACAAGTAACAAGTATAACTTATAAGCAATATAAAATATTTATTAGAACATTAGTATAGACCAGGGGTCTCCAACCTTTTTTTACGACGGGTCAAATCTGAGATACGCTTTGGCACCGTGGACCAACATTTTTTAGAGGAATAGAGAGGTAATGAAATTGAAGAATATATAAAAATAGAAAAGATCTTTTTAGGTTTTAGTAAAATTTATATTCATTTTTTTATTTGCATTATTCAAAATGTGTTTTATTGTGAGTAATACGAGGTTTTAATTTTTAGGTTTTAGTAAAATTTATATTCATTTTTTTATTTGCATTATTCAAAATGTGTTTTATTGTGAGTAATACGAGTAATTTACTTAATGAGAAGTTTGGAATTGCTTGTCTTTATAAATTTCTTGATATTATGCAGCAAACTTCGTTGTTTTAATAAACAGCGTTGCTTGTAAATGTTGGTCACTTAAGTTGGTTCTATAATTATTAAGAACAACAACTAACGAAAAACCACGTATTTTATTATTATTACTTTTTTTTTGTTTAGTAAGAAATACTGTTGATAAATAAATAATATTGTCAAAACATCAATAAACTTGGCAGGTCGATCTGAAAAACTTGACGGGCCTTGACTGTAGTTTAATGCAAAGTTTACGATTAACCATTACAACTGAATCAGTTGCATAGCTAAGGGGGGGAGCTAAGGGAGCTATAGCCTCCACCCATAAACTGTGTTTATATATGCATATTATTTAATGATTTAAGTGTTAACTTCTTTAAAAGTTATTTCTTTCACTCCTATAGAAGAATCTTTTCTACACTAAACCATAAATGAAATCGTACTATTTAAGGAGGTGTAGTATGTCAACAAATAGCGTCATTGGGTTAGCCATGGATAATATAAATTTAAAAAATGTTGCTTAAACGTTTATTTAAAATTCTTTTAGAAAGATGCAGCCCTCTGACAGAGAGGGGTGTATAATGTATAGTATAGTTACCGCAAGATATTCCAAGAAATTATACATAATATAATATTATATTATCATTTTATCATTGAAATGCATATCGACGAAACCCATTTTTCTAAATGTTTTTGAGGTTGAACTCCCCTAAACCTCTGTTACCTCCACCCACGATGAAAGCAAACGAGTGCCCATCCCAGTACAAAATTCTGGCTACGCCACTGAACTGAATTAACATAAACATGTTAACATATTAAAAATTATTCATCGAAAGACTTCATAGGAAAATTCTTTAATAAATCTATGTTTTAATGTTTTATAATGTAGCCTGTTGGAATATCTGAATATATAAGATTAAAAGTAACTAGATAGTTATTATATATTTTTATTTTTTATACAAGTGGTATTATACTATTTTATACAATATACATTTCCTATATAAGTACCGACTCATCAAATTTTCGATTTGTCTGGATAAAAGTTAAAGAAATTTGAATTTAAAAAGACTGACAAATTTCGCACGATGGTTGGACCACTGTTATAGATGAGAAGTCGGTAAGGTACAGTATAGAGGAGAATTCAATTTATATCTGTACGCAACGATTAATCATTTTTAATGAAAAACGATTCAGAGGGGAGTTCGATTATACATATTTTGATAGGTCGTAATATTTACGATTTTCGTAAAAATTTGATATTCAAATTATTCTCATAGGAAACAATTCTACTTTACAAACAATTTTTTTTTTAAATTACAAAGTAAGACTTATAATCAGAGGCAGATTAACGAATAGGCAAAACAGGCCTGGGCCTATGGGTGCTATAATATTAAGTTGTATTAGGGGCGCAAACATTTTATCTGCCATTAAAAAAAATGGAAGAATGTATCGGTTTTATAATGATGTTTATTATTTTTTCTTTCATATAAACAACATTTTTATCAGAAATTTTGCTCCGATTTACAATGATAGCACTTTTTCTGAAAGAAAATCTAACTGAAGTGGTACTTTAAGGAGGTCATTTTTTGATTTTCCCAACTGTTTTCATAATAAATGGGAAAAACATGGGAAAATAGGTACAATATTAAACAAATATTATTAAAGAAAATATATAATGCTTATGTAATTACTTAACCATAATATGATATATCAAGCCCGTATCCAGGGGGGGGGGTTTAGGGGTTTAAAAACCCCGCGAAATTTTTATAGTAGGTATATATTTATAATATAACAAAGACTAACTACAAACTCTATGTATAATTTGAATTTATAAATTTCCCAGTTTCCCACTAGTCATTAGTCCTTACACGTTATCTTAAATTTTAAAATTATTATTATTTGTTTGGGTTTGTGTGTATAATAATAACAATAATATAATATTATACGTTGTGGAAGGATAATCGACACGCGTCTCAACTCTCGGTTGTGTATCTATTTACTTTTACATTATATTTTATACATTTCTTGAAAAATGAAACGAAGTATGTCTACTCAGTCGTCACTATTAAATTTTTTTCATAAGAAAAACAATCAACGTGAATTGGATTCAGTTGAAAACGTATTGAGTTTAGTAGATGAAACGGTTAAAATGCCACGATTAATTGGGCAATCCATCCATCGTAATAATATTCCAGCAGATTCACCAGAACAGTACTATAAGAGATCAATTTTTTTGCCGTTTTTAGACTACTTCAAAAATCAATTAAAAGAAAGATTTATAAAACACAATAACATTATTTTTGGTTTGCAAAACTTGCTTCCATGTTATCTTATTAAATTAAATACAAGTAGCAATGAATTAAAAAATTGCATTGATTTTTACAAAAGCTTTTTACCGACTTATGACACTTTTGAGTCAGAATTGAAGGTGTGGATGGAAAAATGGAAATCAGTACCCGATAAAGAACTTCCAAAATCTGCAATCGATACTTTAAGCGCTATGTCGAAGGACCTTTATCCAATCATTTGGTGTTTACTATCCATACTTGCAACACTCCCCCAGTGTCAACTTCGTCAGCAGAACGTACTTTTTCAACTTTAAGACGATTAAAAAACTATTTGAGGAATAGCTGCAGCGATGATCGTCTAACAGGTTTAGCTTTATTGTCAGTCCACCGAGTATCTCAATAAATATTGAAGAAATAATCAATACTTTTTCCAANCCCCCCCCAGAAAATTGATCCTGAATACGTGCTTGTGACATATTATATATTGTTGACAAAGTATCACTATTAACCGAATTCTGCTCAAAATCGTTTTACCGTTAGTAATGGTTAATAATCATTGCGTACAGATATACATTAAATTTCCCCTCTATCTTCTCAACTTCTCACCTAAAATAGTGGCCCACCCACGTGTGAAGTATGATCGTCTTTTAAGATGTGTGACCGCAAAACTTCCGTGTTTGATTTGTGAACAAAAATGATAAATATAATAAGGGCGCTATTTTATACAAGGCCTAAGGGTGCTAAATTTCTTAATATGGCACTGCTTATAATCGAGGAGATTCATTAACCTCCGGTTAAATTTTCAAACATTTTTGTTTGGTAAAATTAAAATAAAACATTATACCGATAGTACACTAACACCAACAAAGAGAACACATAGTAATATAAACGCGTGGTGATACGCTAGCCATATCTGTCGGTATGTAATACATCTTAATAAATACTATCAAACACCCCTACCCCTTTTAAATATACCTAATAACACCTCATTATTAGCCCCCCCCCCTTTACCGTGTGCGGGCTTTATTTTTATGTCTATTCTATTACATAATAGTTTTATCCTGCACAGAGTACAATTCAAAGCAAAATTAAAATGTCTATAAATAGCTCAAAAAGGCTAAAATGTATTGAAAATTTTACCACGTATAGAAAATGCAAATATAAATTTTCATCCAAATTTAAAGTCTCTGCAAATTTTTAACTTAATCACAGCAAATAACAAAATTGAAAATATAATACATTTCATACATTTTCTCGTATTTTCCGGTTATTTCCAATCATTATGAAAATCGCTTGAAAAATCAAAAAATGGTCTCCATAAAGGACTCGGGAACTATTACGCTTAAAATTCACAAAAAAGCACTTAATAACCTTAAAAAGCCTTGAAAAATGTACTTTGAACAAATATTAATAGACCAAATGGTCGAAATTGAGTTTAAGTTTTTCCTGCCTAACGACTTTAAATTATTAAATATAATTTTCTAACATGACACAAATTATTAACAAAAAATTATTTTGTTTGAATAAAATTGTACGTATTTAAAAAAAAATAACTTTTAGTCAAGTTTAGTTTTGTAATATTAGAATAAATTGTATTAGATAAGTTAAAGCCGTTAGAGAGGGAACTTTTAAACCCTTCTACCATTTTTTCTTTTTTTTAAAGCTTTTTTGACGTTTATAAGTGGTTTTTTGTGGATTTTAAGTGCAACAAGTTCCGAACCCTAATTATAACAGTGGCTGTACCCGATCCCATTATACTAGGACGTCAAATTTTTTTTTTCTGCGGTAAATAAGTAAAGTAATTTGAATTTTTTACAAATTAGGTACCTATTACAGATATATAAATAATAAATACTAAAACAAAAGTCAAAGGAGGAGATATATATCCATAAACTTCGCCTCTTTAATATGCCACCGATTGGAAATTACCTCGTGTAGGCATCTGCAGTAGGTTTACGAGACACGAGAACATCATCTTCCCTTGTAATAAAATCACTAATATGGGTCACCGGTACTTTGCCAATTCGAAATTCTGATGTCTATGTACGCGTACACCTAAGTAGGTGGATTGCTTTAACGTTAATTATTCGGTACAAAAAAAAAAAAAAAAAACAAACAAACAATGTCTCACGGTGAAATTCTACTACAGCTTGAATTGTTCTTTTATTGTACGCATGCGTAGTCGTGTAAAGTGTTAATATATCATAGAAAAGAGCCCGGAGGTACAAGTGCATAATGATTCTGGGAAGTGAATCCACCGCGGACCACGTGCATTGTAATTTCTAATTTTCAAGAACGTTCGTTCGGAAAAAATTCAAATAAAAACAGTGGACAGGTTTACGTAGGTAGGTACTTGTAATAATAATAATGTCAGTGTTGTAATAATACACCGTGTAGTTCGTACAGTCATACTTTACAGTTTACAGTTAGTTGCCACCTAGTTGCAGCATTGTATAGTGACAGTGAACACATTTTTTAGTTGTCGCCGTAACATTTTGAAATGTTCGATATTTATCGGTGTATCCTTACAATACTATTAGATTCTGAGCGTAGCGAAGAGTGTATTGGTTTTACTGGTTGAGTTTTTTTATTTTTTTGTGCGTGCCGTGGAACAACTTTCCTACCAGAAAATCGTGTTCCAATCAAAGACCGACAAAGAGCTTTTCCATAGCGTATTGAACCCAATTGGTGCGTTGGGAGGCCGGTTTTCGATTTTTCTCGTACTTTACCTAATAATCGGCAGGCGGGGGGGGGAAGTGTAGGAAAACCGGACGCATTTACGGCACATTGACGGTTTCATTATTTTCGATTTTGTTTTTTCTACAAGAGATGTTTCTTTGATTTTCAAACGAAACATATTTTCCAAAAAAGAACTTCGGTTAGAATTAGAAGATCGCTTTTTGATTTTCTTATTGGTAGTTTTCTAAATAGTTGGAACAACCCGGGAACACCGTATAGGAAAAACTGGAAAATTTACGGAAAGATCGATTTCGTATTTTATTTCCGACTTTGTTTCTTTCTTTTGTTGCGATTCGGTTAAAATAAATCGTACAGACCTGTTATTTTCACAGAATACCTTTATTAGCCTTGTCTAGACGTGACACGATTTTAAAAATATTCCGGCAATTTTTGAGCTATTTGTAGGCATTTGACATTCTCACAAATAAAATAGTTTTGGCACAATAGAAATGTTTTAAAACCGTTTGAATTTATTTGTATTAAATAACTTTTACCTGCGAAAAAATGTCAGAAGATATTCGCATAAAATGTGTACACACATATATATCGTATGTAAAATGGCTAATATAGTCCAGAGTACAGAGTTTCAAAATCCGGATTATCGAACTTCGGCGAATCCGACTTTTCCCCGACATCCCCGCTCCTACTAAAGTGCGTGTAGCTATGACGACGGCTTTTTCACGGCCGAAACCCCGGAAAAGCGACACACCGCGTAAAAACACTCCGAAAACTCGGGGGACCAAAAAAAAAAAAAAAAAATTTAAAAAAACCCACGACTCTACGATAACGACGGGGGGATTTTTAGAAAATGCATTCGCACGGGTCGGACGGCAAAACAACGTGCCGCGTGAGAATATCGTCCGCCGATATAGATAATTTTTACACAGTGTGGATGACCTTTAGGACGCCGGATAAAATATAATATTATTATTATTATTGTTTCGTCATCGTCGATACATGGGAAATCTATAGGGTACTGCTACACAGCGCCGTAGTGTTCTGATGTCATTTTTTTTTTTTTTTTTTCTGATAATTTATAAATAAGGTACGGTGCATTATCGACTGAAAAAAAAAAAAAAAAACTAGAACGCCTATTCCGTCGTTCTAGATAGAGAAAAAAAAAAAAAAAAAAAAAAAAAAAAACCAAACGGTAAAATATAATGCAACAATGCGAACAGCTGCTGCGCGCGTGAACCGTGTCGCGTGCAGGCGATATAATAATAACAACAATAATACATATTATGTATTACTACAATATTACTACTATCGTCGTTGATAACGAAATGATAAAAAAAAAAAAAAAAAAAAAAAAAAAAAACGACAACATTAATAATAATTTATTGTTCGCGATGTTGTTTATTATATTTCGTATCGTAAAAACGAAACGATGTTGGAAACATCATCGGTATGGTAACCACTGAACGGGCCGAAACTTGTTGTCCGCGGCGTCGTCGTAGGAAACCATAATAATAAAAATATATTGTGCGTGCGTGCGGATTTTGCGCGGCAAAAAGTCGAATGCACAATGTGTGTTTGTGTGTATTTCCCCGCCGCGGCTGGCCTTCGACGTCGCCGCCGCCGCCGCCGCAGCACACATAATCGAATGCGTGTCGTAAAAAAAAAAAACCGCCGAATATAAAAAAACGCGTACCGCAAACCGTGTATACAGTGTGTCGGAGCGAGAGAACGCGGGCGCGAGAGAGAGAGAGAGAGCGAGCGAGTGACGAGGACGCGAGCGGAGGCGAGGGAGAGAGACGGAGAGTAAAAGAGAAAACGTACGAAATCGTACGTGTGTGCGTATATGCGTGCGTGCGGCGACGGCGGAGTGGAGAAAAAAAAAAAAAAAACTAATACAACGAAAAAAACCTTCGCGCGGCGGCCTGTTCTTGGCGTGCGCGCGCGATTCGATCTTTCGGCCGGGCGAGAGTGGCGGGCGGCCGACGAAGGCCATCCGCGCCGCGCGTAAGGTCGAACGCAGGCACGCAGTGTTGCAACGTGTACGGGCGCTGCAAACCGTGCACACGTACGCCCGCCCGCGGGTGCCCGGCGCTCTACCGCGGGCCGCGTCATTATAGTGCGACGGACGGACGGCCGGCGGAGGCGTCCCCCACCCGTCGCCGGTCCGCACGACCGGACAGAAGACGGTGTTCAGTGCGTCGACGGCGGCCGAGGTCGGCCGACCGGGTTGCGCGCGCCGCGTGTACAGTGCCCGTGGCCCGTGGTCGATAAGGGGTAAAACGAAGAGCGAAAATCACATCCAGCGTCGCACCTCCACCGCCGGGCCGCGACCCTTGCACCGGCCGCCCGTGGCCCGCGTACGGCGGGCGTCCGACCGGGAGACGGGGGACATGGCGCGCGCACTGGCACCGTGCGCCAATGCGCGGCGCGCCGTCCGGGGAGAACGGCGCTGCGGCGGCGTATTCGCACAGTGCGCACGCGGCGACTAGTGCGATTTTGCCCGATGCAAAAACGTCAGCGCCAAACTTCGCGACTCATCAGTTTGACCTACTGCATTATGCCATTTTCGCCTTCCGGTCTCCGCTCTGCTGTCGTTCTGCGAGTGTGCGTCTCGCGCGCGTGTGTGTGTGTTTGTGTGTGTGTGTGTGTGCGCGCGCGCGCGTGTGTGTCTGAATGAGTGTGCGCGAGAGCGAGTGTGTGCGTAATTCCCCCCCCCCCCCNCCCCCCCCAATTTCAGAATTGCAATTCTTTTTTTTCTTTTTTCATGTGTTAATTAATTTGTAGTAATTTTTCCGCAAACGACGACACTCGCGGGGAGTTACTGCTACTACGCTGAGGTAATAACAACAATACTAGTGACGAGTGATGACCGTCTCGCGCGCGCACAGTCGTTCACCGCGGATCTTGTTGGAATTTGCAAAATATTTTCGATTATTTTCCACTACCCTACCACTAAACATTACCAACAATTTCAATCCGATCTATTCGTCGTCGATCATTTTTTTTTTTTTTTTATCAATAAAATCTCTTTCGAATTAATTTTTTTCCGGGACCATTACTCGAGGCTCGGCCCGGAGCGCACCGCCGACGAAATTCGGAAACATTATCACAACAATAATAACATTGTTGTTATTATCATCATCGGTTTTTATTCTTCCACCCCCACCCGACGACCGATAAGAGAATAATAATAATAATATTGTTCCGTCCTCACCGTCGTCGCGTGTTGTACCCCCACCGTCGTCGTCGTCGGTCGGGCCGCCGCCGCCGCCGCCGCGCCGTTAACCGCGCGAAAACCCGCGCACTGGGCGCGCAGTCTACTGGTAAATTTCGTCGTCCGCCAGACGTTCGCAAAAATAGACACTGGCGCCCGTGCACGCGCCCCGCACTGGCATTAAGCTCGCGACGACGACGACAAGCCACAAGGCCCATTCCGTTCGACCGCCGCAGGGGTTGCACACGCACGACAACGGTCGTCCTTCCGTTATGCAAATTTTCGCAATCGCTCTGCCCGAAACACCGTCGGCCGATGCCATTGACTTTAAACCGTGCCGTTCGTTCGTACGGTGACTGTGCGTCCGCGGTCCAGACTTAAAAAAAAAAAACAAAAACAAATAAATAAATAAATAATAGACAATTATCGTCCCTCTGGCCGTTCGTTTTTTTTTTTTTTTTTTAATTTGGTTTTTTTTTTGTTTTTTTTTTTTCATTCTAATTTTGTAAAACGCGTCTTACCCTTAATGAAAATTTGTCTTTGCGCAGACCCGGAAGCACGGCGACCCAGGGCCATGCCGATGCCATGAACGTTTGACGGTGTCATCTGTGCCACAGCTCGTTAATCGGTAAGTTTCCGACACACAGTTACTACTTACTCGGCAAACAACACGAATCTATAATTATTTATTTTCACAACGAATTATAATTAATACCGACGGTATTTATTTTTTCACGTCTCGTTTCGTTCGGTCGCCACTAGAAGTCTGGCTGCCGTCTGCATCTGCTGCAGCTCTCGTTTAGCGATATTATTCCTGTTAACATTATCTACGCTCATGATAACATCATAATAATAACAACATTATTATCAGATTTTCCCGTGGATATTATCATAAATTCGCTAAAAAGATATCAATAATATTTCGTGTATTTATCAATTAACATTATTTACTAACCAACAATCGATAATTGCCTGTTTACAATCTAGTCTATTTTGCCACTGTTTTCAATTCCAAATCTTTCGTCTTTTTGTTTTTTACTTAATTCAATTTTCCCCACCGAATTCAAATTTAATACCTACATTTTTTTAATGCATTTTGATAGTAACCGAGATCAGAGTTATGAAGTCATGCAGAGTTTTATGATTTTCATTTGTATCGGATATATTTATATTATTTTTGACCGATACATATTTCTAATAACTATTCATGGTTTATCCATTACTAACTGTTTTATAAAATATATGCTTAATATAAGTTTCTTAGTTATAGTAATTAGTTATCAATTAGATACAATTCAACACAAAAACAGTAACATAATGTATCAACTAATAAAACAAATATCTTATATACCTACCTACCTACCTGTACAAAATAATTACCTAGATCATCTGCTCAACCTTAAGGGGCTAACTCCCTTCTCCCCGAAATTTGAAATTTGTTTATGAATTCTACATAATTTGTAGGTATTACAAATATATCTTTACAATTTTGAATAGGTATATGCATTTTTATCAATTTAGTAGTTTACTATCCCAAAAACCTATCCAAAAATCAGTTGGAAATTCTTAACAACCCTCCCCCCTCCTCTCACCAAAAATGAATTTGGGTTGTGCAACTGACCCAGATTATTAGGTGGGTACCCGTTACCCACTTAATTCGGATTAGTTTAAATTGTTTATGGCATTTATTAATTATAGACACTTATAAGACATGCATTTATTATGTTCAGCGCAATTAATAATTATGTCCATAATTTCATATTATTCAACTTTCTATACAAGCCGGTTGGCTTTATTTATAAATTATCATTGTCACATAAAATAACATGCATTGATAATGTCAAAAACGAAAACGTTTTCAGCTTCTTCGTTTAAAATTTGATATCTGTAAAACAATCTAACAAAAGGAAAACCGTGAATAAAACATATATTTTTACTGTTCATCTCCATATCTATAGCCAACTATGATAATTATAAACATACACTACCTAGGTAGGTAAATATAACCAAAACAGGTCAATGTTATTCATGAATATGATAATTTACATGTTGCATTCAAAACTACTATGATTTTAATCGGGTTACTATTCCTGTCCGATCAAATATATATACACGTAATTCGTAAAAAGTTTTCAACTCATTTAACTTGTTTTTCATTTATAATAACTGTTGTTTACATAAAACATGTCTTTTAGATTCACTTTATATTTATTGTGACTCATGCCGGTTTTAAATTTATCACATAAATTATATAAATACATACGAAAATTCTATATTTAATATTATTTGAACTTTTTTTAGTACACCTTACTTATCTAACCAATATGACATTAAAAATCTCGTTAAATACATACTAATGTAAGGACAGTTTCTTTTGAGTGGTTAAGACACAGTGCCATAGTCAGGGTAACACTGAGGAAGTGTCCCCTCTGCCTGGAAAAATCATTTTTCATTGTTTATTTAGGTTACATTGGTGTATTTAATTCTATATTATTAATCATTTCTAAGTAATAATACAAATTATTAGTATCGCTTCCAATATTTCTGAAAATTTATCCTCAATATAGTCTGACAATGTACCCATAATGTTGTAATTTAATATAGGTAGGTAGTTATTATAAAAATACATTGGTAATATTTTATTAATAGATAAACAAATAAATGGCTTTTAAATATTCTATGAAAATTAGTAAGTACAGGTAAGTAAGTAGGTATTTAATTTTATTACACTGTCAAATATGCCAATATGTTCAGTTAGATACTTACCTAGTTAAAACTGATATAATATATTGAAATTGTTTTTTGTTATTTTTTGGTAGACAAATTTATATGAAAAATAGTTAATGATTTGATTAGTTAGGTTGGAACATAGGTTATTACTGTACTTTAAGTACTTAAAAGGTTTATTTAAGTCTGTACTACAAATTAAATTTATTGTTTAAAATTAATTTGATATAGAACATTTTGCAAAGTTTTGAATAAAAATATAGTCAAGTATTAATTGAGATTTTAATTAAATAAGAGAAAAGCACACCTATTTCTCAATCCTACTCATAGAAACTATTATAGATACGTATGCATGGTATAATGCTATTAATGCATGCTTAATATCATACTAATACAATTATCTAAACCAGCGGTTTCACAATAGAATACAGCATGCAAAAACTTAATAAATAAATATTTGTTCTAATGATATATGAATAGATCTAATATTATTTTATACTACCTAATTTGTGATCACTTTTTAAAATTATTTTGAATTTAAAATATAATATTTTACTACTGCCTGACTGCTTGCCTTATCATTTTGAATAGCTCTATTTTTTTCATTAGTAATAGATTCATAATACACATGAGTATTACGAAAAAAAGGTTTGAGAACTTCCAATCTAAACTAATGCAGTCATATATCATAAATCAACAACAGAAAATGCTCAGATGTAAATCATTTTTGCCCAAGTGCACACATTTATCTGTAAATTAAAAATGTATTAAGAAAAAAGCATTTGATCAAAGAAAAAAAAAAGATTTAGGTATATGTATATTATATACTTATGTGGGTACCTATAAAATGATAAAATGGTAAAATTCCAGATAAATTCATTTAATTATTTCATATAAATCTTTTGAAATGTATTTTAGTTTCAATTATAGTAGCAGAACTTTAATTGTTTTATTTGGTTAGTACTAGGTTACTAACTGTATGTGTCCCCATTTCTGGTTTATTCTAAAATAATTATGTACAACTATTTTATTCTAACATCATTTTGGTTTAAACAAGAATTTAGCTAATTCATATAGGTAGTTAATTTATGAACTGTTTTAACAGCTTATTAGGTAGATTTGAAATGAATACTACCAAATATGCATATGTGCATAAGTTATGTTTAGATAGGTAGGTATATAATATTGTTTTACGTTAGAGATTAGACTTGAATTGAGTCACTCATTAATTAAATAAACCATTATTGATAAAAAATGTAAACATTTACAATATATATATATCTTATATTTAAATGTAATCTTTTAATATATTTAATAAATCTTACATTGATTTTGTATTTAACATTTAATTCTTTAATAGGTAGACACATTATGGTACCTATATTATTACGTTGGGATATTTTTTAGTTGTAATATTCTTACATTAAACCTTGTGAATAAAATATTATCACTGGGAAACATTTTATTATTCATATATGTATAATTTTATCATTAAACAATTAGTTATTTTCTTACTTTATCTTAAATTACAATTTTTAATTATTTACTTACTATTTTTCTCATTAAAATAATAATTGAAATGTTTTAGTTACTATCAAATTACATTATTATAACCTAATGTCATATTTATTTTACAGAGCCACTGTTATGTGTTTTTAAATATCGTCTAAATTACAATCTGGAGGAATGGACGCTCAGCAACAATTCTGTCTAAAGTGGAATAGTTTTAGTAACAATCTTGTAACTGCATTTGATAACCTTTTCAAATCAGAAAGTTTGACAGATGTATCATTGTTTTGTGAAGGTATTGACTATAATTTATTTTATAAATTATATAAAATATAATTATTATTTTAATAATAATTAAATATTATCATATTAAATTAAGTAATAACTAATAATAAGTAATAATATTACTTAATTTAATATGAAATACTATTAATATTTATATTTAAAAATAACATTGTATATTATTAAACCAGGTAAAACTTTCAAAGCCCACAAACTAATTCTGGCAGCATGCAGTAAACATTTTCAAGAAATATTTGAAGCTACTCCACTAGGATCTAGTTTAATTATCATACTTGATGGGACTTCTTCAACAAACATGGAATCATTACTTGAATTTATGTACCGAGGGGAAGTTCAAATATCCCAGGATAGACTCTCTAGTTTTCTAAAAACAGCGGACAATTTACAAGTAAAAATAACAAAAACAATTGTAATTTTCCTATTACTTGCTATTATTTGAGATTTTAATTTAATTTATTGACTAGGTTAAAGGCCTATCATTTGAATATGAAAAATTGCCAATCGCAACTCAACAAAGCAGTACTGGTGAAAACAAAACAGCGATAGATTCCTCTAGATTAAAACAAAATGGTGCAACAGAAACACAATTACCATCTACCTCATTCAGCCCTCTCCCATATATAACATGCCATTATCGTCCTACAAATGCACACTCTGAACATCATCCACCTTCACCCGATCCCCAAAGAAATAAACGACCACTCCATAATAGCCCTAATACAGTGCTAGTATCTGATACACTAGGTGTTCGAGCATCTGTTTTAAGAGATGGTTCCAGACCAGAACATGAATCTCCACTTTCTTTGACTTACAATCCACATTCATCGGCCCATTTGGAAAATTCTCATCAGCCACAAACAAATAATTCTGGTCCAGTAGATGCAACTACATCAGTTCATAATTACCGTAATGTTACTAGTAACTCTAGTAATTGTGGAGAAGGTATATTTTTTATCATATTTATAAAACATACAGTACTCCAGTTACTCCAGGACTTAGTTAACATGAACTTGGTTAACATAATTTATTGGTTAACACGAACTGATTTTCTTGTCCTGAGAAAGGCATGTATTAACAAACTACAAAAGTACTATTTTAATAAGTGTATTTGGTTTAACCTCCTTTGTTAATGTAAATTTGTCTGTGTAAGTATAATTAATTTAACATGAAAGAATTTGTGTTTCAATTACACAGATTACACAAACAAAATTAGGTCATTTTATGGTCCCCTTTGAGTTTGTGTTAACGAGGGAGTACTGTAATTAGTTTAATTTAATGAAATTCATTTTTAATAAAATACCTACTATTCTTTGTCTAAATATATTTAGATCTTCGAATAAAATCTGAATCAGTATCTGTTCCAACTTCTGCTGCAGAGTTTCCTCAAAATGTAAATACACCAACTAACGAATGGAAAACACCAGATAATGGACCTACACCAGCTTCTTCTCCAAATCACTTCAATATCAAGATAGATACATCTCACAAAAATATTGTGACTACTCTTACAGCTGATGGTAATGAATATTAACTTCTGATCAGTAATTTTCAAGTTACCAAAACTATCTATCTCTAAAACCATAATTATAGAAGAAAACCTTATTTTAGAAAACATTTTGAAATCCCAGTTTCTGATTGAAATGAAATTAATTATATAATTTTTCCAATGTAGGTCAGGGATTTTGATAATAAATGTGGGTGGCTTTAATCATGCAAAATTTGTTTTAAATATCAACTTTATAGTTTAGTTAAAAGTAAATTATTCAATTTCAGTTTGACAACTGAAAAAATTGCAAAACTAAATTATAAAGACACATTATTTAATTCATACATTTTGATTTAATTCGATAGTTAGTGTGTTTGAATATTAAAATGTAACTATCATTGATGGAGAACATAAGAAATTAAGTTCTATATTTCACAGAAATGTTTGTATACTATTTGTATTTTTTGTATAACTACTATTATTTTGTTTTCACTGAATGATTAGATATCACTTTAAAATAATTTATATAATTGTTACTAATAAAAAGCTTGTATAAATAATTTTTAAAATTCCACAGTTTTGGTTTGAAAAAAAATAAATAAAATTAGACAATTGTAATGCTTTTAAATATTTATAGTTTTATTAATTTTTTTTTTTTTAAGAATAAATTAATAATTCATTTTTTTATTAGGTAAAAAATTGCAATGCCCATATTGTGAACGATTATATGGTTATGAAACAAATCTCAGAGCACATATAAGGCAGAGACATCAAGGAATTCGAGTGCCATGTCCATTTTGTGCTCGCACATTTACGCGGAATAATACAGTGAGACGGCATATTGCTAGAGAACATAAAACAGAAATTGCATCGAAATCAAACCCAACATTTCCACAAACTGCAAATCACAACCAATAAGTCTTAACACATCTACCTCTTTCCCAAATATTTTTACCTCCCACTTAATATTATATATATTCCTCCTTTAACATTAATCATACCACCAGTTAAATATAATATAGTCTGGTACATAAGCAAACTGCAGACTATTTGACCTCTAAAGTACAAATGTAAATTATTAACACTTCTGTAACTATTAAGACTGAATGGAGGCAGTGTTAGTTTTTAGGTGAAAATACATTTTTATAGCACTGCCTCTTATGTAAACATACCTCAATGATTTTTACATGTTATATTTTCAAATATAACTTATATATTATTTATAATATTAAAAATGTTAATGTTGATTCTGTGGGTTGCTTATGTCTCCGTAAGTTATAGTAATACACTGTTAGTTAAGTTTTTTAAGCAGCTCTCTTATCATTGATTGGATATCAATAAACAAAAATTAATTGGCCCTGGATGGTACATATTTAAAAATTTGTATTCATTGATAAGTCATTAAAATCCGTTTTGTTATTAATTGTTACTCTTATATGTTAGGAAATTCAAATCAGTTAAAAAAAAAACATAAATCCTTTACTATATAGCCATAATAGGGGAGATAATCTATTTAATTTTAAATTGTCAATGTGGCATAATTTTGGGGTATAGTTGAAAATCTTGTTAAAAAGATGTTGCTGAAGTGTCTTCTTAAATAATTTCTCATATTACACTTCGGATTATATTATGAATTTGATTATTAATTATTATTCAATGTTTAGTGAATTATATTTTCTAAATAAATCTAAATTAATGATATTGTATACAATTGGATTCAAATTTCAAACAAATTTAATTTTTAATTAAAATAATAATGTGTACAATAAATTCATTTTTAGTCAAAATTATTATAAAAATACAAAATTAAAAATAAATTATGTAATTATTATTAATTGTTATTAAAGAAAATTGAGTGGAACCTACTTAGAACAATCTAATTGCAATGTATCATACAATAAATGCAATATTTATAAATTATTACTATTCTATTATCAGTATGCTTATTAATTATTAACACTTTACATGGTTATAAATTAATTACGCCTAATGAATTTAATATTATACTTGTGATGTTGTGGATTGTTTGATTTTTGAACCATATCATTATGTTTGGTTTGAAAATCGAGCTGAAAATTGTAAATTTGATAAACAATTGGGTTGACCTAAAAATCAGGGTTCATGACATCACTATATAATAAAAATTGTACCTGATTAAAAGTTTTATTCTACAAAAATGTACCATTCATTTTCCAAAATTGAAACCGTTAATATGATATATATATATTTTTTTTTTTAATTACTAGTCATAATATTTCTCCACTAGTCACAATTTAATCGAAGCCAGAATTTGTTTTTATTGTGTTGTATACATATTTAAAAGCAATTATGTATTAAAAATCATTAATACAATTTGATTATCAATCCAAATAGAAATTTATTTTTATATTTGGAAAAAATAATATATGCTTGTCTTCTACCCATCTTTGAATAAATAATATTATTTTAGGCATATATATTTTTCTTGATTACATGTTTGTGTAGTCAATGACAATTAAATTCAATTAAGATGTCATACTATTTTAATTAAATAATTTGTTTTGGCTTAATGTACAAATTTAAAATAAGTAATATTTATGATTAAAAAAAAAAAAAAATTAAAAAAATTAAATTACAAAAAAATATATTAACAATAATAATAGAGGCGAACTGTGGCAGGGACATGTCATAATACACTTATACAATTTACTTATCATTTCGCCTCGTGTAGTTTTATCGTAACTATAGTACAAGTATTTTTAAGGTCACATGTTATAATTTTTATTAGGTTAAACTGTTTTATTATTATTTATTTGTTATTTAAACCGTTAAGAATTTTATTATATGTTTTTGTCTGTTCAAATCCATAAAACTTACATATTTTTTGCAGTCACTTTACACACTAAACAAACTGTGAGATTGAAATTTTTTTTACACATCTTTATTTGTTACCATGGTTTGTCTTACACAAGTAAATGGGAGTGATCATCTTGATTATTGTTTAAATTGTCAACTTTTTTGTTGAACTAAACTGTCAAATAATTTTTTTCTTATTTATTTAGTGTAAGATAGCCATTCATAACATTTTTATTATTGTTACAAACATTTTATTATATAATTTATTAATTTTTTTTTTTTTTTATTATTATTTAGTGATAATTGAAACAAAATGATTACCGTGTTTGGTACATAACTCAGAGTACAATTTGGTGTCTTAAGTAAAGTTTAATTGTAGGTAAAGAAATATATTATGATATTATTTGAGGAATTTTTTGCACTAAATTAAGGTGCAGACAATCTGTATATTTGTTCAGTATTGTGTTATAAGTTATGACATTCCGTTTAGAGTGACATTAAGTGTTAATTCTTGTTGTTATTAGGTAAACATCACTTTAAGAAATTATATAGTAATATTTTTAATGACCTATAGTACAAATTTACTACCTCCACTTCTAATAAGTTTTAGAATAATTAAATATTATATTAATTAGGCTAATTAATATTATCTAATTCATATCTATAGTTCATTGTGTTTAAGTGAGTTTTAATATTATTTTTACTATCAATATATTGTTAAAATATATAATCAATATATATTTATATCACAGTTTCCTAATATTATCCATCTACCTCTTGTTTTTTAAACAAAATATATTAATAATAAATAATTTTGTGTTAAGATATAGTACAAATCAGTGCAAAGAATTCCTCAGTTTTTTTTTTCTTTCTTTATATAAATGTACAAAGTTAATATTAATAGTAAGTAATATAGGTAAAATGTAATTGTGTTGTTATGTTAATGTTCTGATTGTAGGTATTTGTTAGAGTTTGAATTTATTCCATGTGTCACTGTTTTGAGTAAATATTTAATCTAGATTATAAGTTTTGCTGTGATTATATTCTGTTTATACCAATGTATAGTTTCACTAAATCAACCTTTTTTTTTTTTTTTTAATGTATTTATTCAATTTCTGTTTACCATGAAATTGCTTGCAAATCATGTTATATTACAAATTAAAATATTTAAATAGGAAAAAAATGCCTAAGCATATTATAATTTACCGGTATAGATTTGTAGATAATTTTGTGAATTGCTTAAGAACTTGTCAAATTGTCAGGGTATGTTTTGATTGTACTTTTTCTCCCATAATAATCTCATAAAATAATACTTTATTTCTTTCTAACATTACTGGCTGATTTATAAAATTATTGATTTATAAGAAATAAAAGTTTTTTTTTTTAATAACAGTGCCAACCAATATTTTGTTAGAATCTTTATAGAAAATAACCTTATATAATGTTCCATTAGTAGTTTTAAAACAATCTAAAACTGCTCTAAAAAAATTGTCAATAATAAAAAAAAAAAAAAAAAAAAAAAAAAAAATACTATTTACTATTTAAATCTTATCACAAAATATGTGCAATAATTATTAATCTTTTAAGAAAAGTTATGAAACCTGTGAGTTTTGTGTAATGATTATACCTTGCAGATTTTCATTAAAAATAAAATTAATACAAACTGTAAGTTTATCAAAACAACCTTTTATAAATATTATTAATTTTGAATTAGTTTTTAGAAAATTGCTTTCTGTTCTAAATACACTAAACATAGTATATTATAGTCTTATAAGTAATAATATTGTTTGTCATTTGTAAATACAAATATATAATACTGTATTATATAAAAATCGTGGGTTTGCCAACGATTACCTAATTATCTAATTACCTTAAATTGTCACTTTATGTTTTTAGAATAATTACTGTATTAATTATGATTTTGCTAATTGAAGCTTTAAATAGTAATTGATTTGTAATAATCACTAGAGTACGAATGTTGAAACAAAAAAAAAAATTGTAAAAAGCATTTTAAATAAAGCTAAAAAGCTATTAAGCTATTCAAAAGTCGGTTATTTTCTTAAGAATTTTCTTTTATATAGAGATCTGAAAAAATAGTGAAGCAGCTCCTATTTTAATTCTATTAAAACTTAAAGATTTATCTTTGATATTTCTTAAGGAGATCATGACTATTTCTATTTTCTTAATAGCATAAATTAGATTACCTATCATCTTTTTTTTTCGCAATTAAACTAATTAATAATAGTTCGTTTAAAATTAAATTTTGTGAAATTATATTGTATACTAAATATAATAATAGATACTTGTAAAAATGATTTAATGACTGTATTTTTGAAGATTAAAAAAATTAAGTATTCAAGAAAACATTCCTTCACTGAAGAAGATTATCAAATATCCTCTAGGTTATATTTTCACCAACTTTTATAATTAGAAATTATCATCATTGAATATTGTCATTAGAGGCTTACTCTAAATCATATTATTTGTTCTATGCTGTAAATTTCCAAGTTTAGAATAGGGGAAGGGACAGAGGGCCCCTAGGGTCTGCTAATTACCAAGTCCGTAATTCTAAAAAAATGGACATTGTCAAAATAAAATTCGAGAAAAAAAAAAAACAACATAATATTACCCCACTGACCACTATTATCTCGACCGTTATAGACACGTACAAGTATGTAGGTATGGTTAAGGGGATATGATCATATTATTGATGTTTTCCCCTGACCTCAAAATTGACGGTTCGTATTTGTATTGTAAATATTGTTGGGTTTTTTTTTTATTAATTTTCTGAAAATCATGACTTCCCGCCCCCGAACTAAATCTCTGGATCGCCCCCGGGGGTGGGATGGGGTAGTCGTGCACGCCCGCCCCCCCCCCTATCGACGGCCCGGGTACGCAGGTGTAACGTATTTATTTCGATCGGTGTTCAGTAACCGCGTTCCGCGTTAACGTTATTATTCGGCGCGATTACCTACGCATCATCAGGCGGTTATTGGGCCGCCGACCGCCGTGTCAATGACTCCCGGTTCGTATATAGGTAGACGGTGGCCCGTACGGTCGTCGACCGGTAGTTCGCGAAAATCACGCGCCGCCGCCGCCGTCGCAGTCGTTCCCGGCACCTGACCGTCCTAACCCAACCCAGTCGTGGGTAACGCAGCGGCCGGTGAACTCCGCGTTGACCGTGAACCGCGGCGGTCACCCCGCGTTTCTTACGGTGTGCACGCGCCCGCGATCAGCTGTGTCTGGTGCGACCAGAGCTGGTTTCATTTCGGTATTATCGTGACGATCACGGCCGTATACGCACACGCGGCGCGAATTTTCGTCTCGGTAACATAGATATACCCACTTAATGGCCCGGCAGTAGTGTTCACTTTCCTAGTTTTCGGGGGAAAGGGAAACGTGCCTACGCGTTCCGAATACAGCAAAAAAAAAAAAAACAAGAAAAAAAAAAAAACCAGTATTCCGAACACTGCAGAGGCCCAGTGGCCAACCGGGAAACCGCGGGGAAACTCGTTAGGTTCCGCGAGATTAGATTAGGTTAGGCCATGTTCGATAATATCGGCCGTAGCCGAACAAATTGTCGGTTAGTGGGAGAGGGGGCATAGGCGGAGATTCGATATTTTTTGGAGGGGGGTTAAAATAACCTTACAGTGACACTCGGGGATACTATGTAACTGTATTCTAATAAAGTAATTTTAGGTGAACTACGAATGATGGTGGGCTAACCTCCCTTGCCGCCCTTCCCTTCCTAATCACCACCTAGGTATGAAGAGGGGTTCTTGATTCGTCCTAATTCAATCCAAGAGCTTGTCACAATTTGTTTTTTCGGTTCGACCCACGCTCAACATAACGAATTTGCGTGGTTAGTTTAAGAGGACGTTACACACGCATTTATTGTTTCCGACAAACACAAGATATAGTTAAAACATGCTTACAAAGACTACACAGAACTCGCTTAGTTTTGTGTAAAAAAATTGTTAAAAAAGTAATTATTTATAAACGGCAAAATGTTATATTCGAAGAAAATGGAAAAACTCAACGTCTCGCCCTCCTGAATTTTCTTTTCTTTTGATTTTATAGGTGTTGTTACTCTAAAACCAAAATTATGTGCGTTCTATGTAATCTGCGTAAGCGTGTTTTAATTATATCGTATTATCGTGCATTTGTGTATTCCGTCTTACAAATACCCGCGTAACGTCCTTTTAAGTAAATCGACCTATTATCAAACTTAAATTTAAGAACATTTTCCGTGTTAGTACGTTCGATTTTTTTTTTACGATATTCAAATTTAAAATGAGATGCGAACATTTTAAAAATTGTAATATTTTACATATTCATAACTTGGATAAAGATTGAAATATCGTAAAAGAAACAACGTGCAAACACTTTAAATTTGATAATATGATAAATTCACTGCTAAATTTGCTATGTTGTGTGTGGATTAGAGAAAAAACAAATAGTACTCTTAATGACCTTTTTAGATTCTGAGCGGAGCAAGGAACGTACCTATTGGTTTCACAATGATATTTATTGTTATTATTTTTTTTTCTGCGAACATCTTCTCTACCAGATATTTTGCTCCGATTTTCTAGTGTAACATCTTTTCTGAAAGGAAATTTGACTGGGGTGGTACTTTGAGGAAATAATTTCAGAATTTTCCCAAGGGTTTTGCATAATAAATGGAAAAAAACCGGGAAAAACCGTAATCATATTTGCCTTTCAAAACATGTATAACCGAACTTTGCACAGAATCGTTTTTCGTTAGCAATGATTAATCGTTGTATAGAGATATACATTAAAGGTATATAAAGGTATATATATTTAGTATATAACCCATTGTGTAATTATGTTGCTCCTACACGACTCGTAATCACCAAACGTATTTTGTTTGAAATGATGAAATATGATTTTTCAAAAAATTATAACATCAAATTTTATATAAAAATAAATATTAAAATGTGAATTTATCGTAACCACTAAAATGATCATAAGTAAAATATTATAAAATTATACACCTACAAAAGGAATAAATTGCGATGATAATATTATATTATAGTTAATTTTATTTGAACAACAATGATAGAACATTAATATTTCAAAAACCAGAATGTGTTGTCCGATTATTAAATTTGGAATTCCGTGTGCAATCAATCATACAGCAGTAGCCGGTAAAGCAAGGTTTTATAGTATTCATAATCTTCATAAATTTATTTCAGTAACCTTAGATATATTATGTCATATACAGGGTGGTTTTTTTTTATCATAAACCAGCAATTATCTCGGAGGATTTTAAATGAATTTGATTTCTGTTTTTTTTCTGATCATTATGGAATCGTTTAAGCTTTATTTTAAAATTATTTTAAATTTTTACCCCTACACCGTATACCTTAAATAAGTGCATTCTTTTGATTTTTAAATAGGTACTCCCCTTTCGAACACCGATTTGAATATATAGAATATTTTTCTAGAAATTTTGATATGAATAACACTAATATCAGATTTACCGTTTATGAGTAATCACAGTTTAAAGTTTACACCGGAGGAGTGTGGAAGGGTCATAGATAGACAATTTATTACCCTTCCATACTCCTCCGAGATAATTGCCGGTTCATGATAAAAAAAATCATTCTGTATAAAACATATTTTATATATTATGTATGTTAGGTAAAAGTAAGAATGCCGCTGAAACCTAGAATATACATAATAGTTTGGGTAAACAGTTGATGATTTTTGTAAGCGAGATTCGGTGAATATTAGAGTTAGAATAAACAATTACTCTAGTCTAAAATTGTATTTGTTTTATACTTATCGTATAGTATTTTTCCATTATTTTATTCTCAGATATTATTTTAATATCAAAAGTTATTTAAAATTGTATATTATAGTAATTAAATATGACTACATGTATTGAATTCGAATTTATATTGGGTAGGTATATTATTATTACAAAAATTATTATTTGTAATTAATTTTACTGCGTTTACAATAAAAACAATTTTATTTTGACTTTAATATAAATCATTTGTCATGAAAAGAATTTAACACAGAAAACTATTGGTAAAACGATAAATATTTACCGCACGCCACGGCGTTACCGTTTTCATTGTTTTTATTATGTTTACACGATGTTTTCTATTGGAAATATTGTTCCAGTCCAAAAACGACAAGTGATCGATTTTTTGAACGATAATATTATATGATAGCTACTATTGTATAAATGGCGTACGATGTTTGCAGCAATTTTCGTGATATGACAAATAAGTTGCTTATACTACTCCTCATTTTTATTTTTAATACAGCAATAGTAAAATAAATCAAAATACTATACGTAATATTTTTTCTCCGAAGAATCTTCTTGTTGTTTTTCTTTAATAAAAGATTGCATTTTTTAAAAAATAAAATAAGAAATTAACATTTTGTGTTATAAATAATAATAATAATAATAAAATAAAAATAATAATTATTATTCTCTAGTATGACACAAGTACTTAATGGTGAACAAATAGTTGAGTTTAATAAAGTGAGTAGTTTATTTTATACGTATTATTTCATAGGAACATAATATATTGTATACTGAGTAACCTAAAAAATAATCACACATCATAGTAAAGCAAATATAAAGAACACGAGGGCTAATCAAAAAGACTGATAGTTTTACTTGGTTTTTTGCATTTGATGAGAAAAACCTTGAGAAAATCGAATTATTATAATATGACATATACATATATTGTTGATAAAGGATCTGTCAACTATCAACTGAACTCCGCTCAGAATTGTTATTTCGTATTCAATGGTCTATCGTTGCTTACAGGTATACGTTAAATTACCTATAACTGTGATTGCAGCCGTTTCCATTATCCTAGTCTTTTGTTTAAATAACATTGTATTTATTATAAAAAAAAAAAAAAAACTTTTAATTAATAACTTGTGTAGCGTTAGACAGTTGTATTTAATAAGTTAAAGTCGTTAGAGAAAGAGAGAGGTCATTAAAAGCTTTCAACCATTTGGTCTAATAATATTTAATGAAGGGTGTTTCAAGGCTTTTTGATGTTTTTAAGTGCTTTTTGGTGAATTTTAAGTGCTATAAGCTCCGAACCCTATTATTCATTCATAATATTAATATTTTAATTTTTTAAATATTAACAAAAAATACATTTGTTTTATTTAAACTTTAAATTTAAACAAATTCACCAAAATAGATGTGATTTGTATTAATTTATTAATGTTAATTGAAAAAACAGAAACGTCAAATAGCTGGTTTTTAAGTTTATGCCCGTATGTGCTGCCACCATCTTACAATCGCTTAGGAAAAAAAAAGTATATAAAATAATTTCAGTCAATAATTTCAGGTCGTTTTTTGATTTTCACGCGTTATTTTTTTTAATTAAAAGCACTTAAATGGGAAAAAAACATAGTATAACGTATGATTTCACGATTTCATTATTTTATAAACACACAGACAATGTTTTTTACCAGTAAAAATGATTTAATCAAAAAATCACAAAATACCTTTTTTGTTGCTCTTTTGATTTATTTTCTTACGGTATCATCTCCAAAACTTCTGAGATTTTAAGGAATTTTAATTTTTGGGAGTTTTTTGTTGTAATTCAGTTATAAATATACGTAGAGATTTGAAACTTAGTAATAATACTTATATTGGACTTACTTACACGTGGTTTCCAAAATCATCGGACGACTTTCTTTTTTTAACAAGCCTTTTGAAGTCAAATTTAAATGAAAATTCCTTCTCCGATGAACTATTCATCGGATATAAATGTGTGATACATTAAAATTTTTAGAAAAATAATCTCTACAGAATGGCTATCTTAAAATTTTCCAAAAATAATAAAATAAAATAATTTTTTAAATTTCTTTAATAAAAAAAAAAAATTAAAGAGGAGTTCTAGAATGCCACGGAAAGTGATTTAAAAAAATTAATAATTAAAAAGCTAGTACTGTTGTACTGTCATTATCGACAAAAAAAAAAAAAATAAAACGAAGGATAAGTTTCGAAATCATTGTAATGTTGCCTCGGATTTACGAATCCAACTTTCAGGAATATCTCCGGATTTTGTTACAATGAAGAAAACTATAGAAAGATTAGAATTTTCTCATTAAATCTATCTTTGTGATGATGGAAGATTAATATTACTTTATAAGCTATGATAATGTATTATTAATAATATTATAATATGTGTAGGTATTACTGAAGTAAACCTTTAAAAATCGTTCTTGCTGTTATTATATTTTTATTAATGACACTCACTTTTTTGCCGGAATTTTTAGGTTACCCACTCATTTGAGTATCCAAAAAATATGTTTTCGTTATGCGGTAATGAAAAAAAATAACGGTTATGGAAAATATTCAAGTTCCTGAAAACGTTCCATCGGTAAAATAGTTGGGAAATACTGGTGTAGATCGATATTGATTTTAGATTGACTACGTTAAACTTAACGTTTTCAGTTCATCCATGCAACATCATGAATGGACAAAAGAACGGGAGGATAATTTCTGTCAGAATCGGAAACTTAGGAATTAAGAGTATGATAACTATAATTCTTTTTATATTTTGGGTAGAATATATTTTGTGGAATTTACAAATACTAATTGCTTAAAATATATAATAATAAATGTGTTTTTTTCTTTTAAATTTCTTAAGTATGGACACTAGTGATGATGGTCGTATCCGAACAATCCGGATACTTAAAAAAATTCTGATAAAAATTCGATTCAAATCCGGATTTGAATATCCGAATAGGTAAACAACCCGGATATTCTGATTTCATGCCCATCCCTAATGGACATTTTACACTTTGAAGGTTGTAATGAAGAATGGAGAAGTTAAAAATCCAATTATGCAAATTCTCGGTATTCAAGATGCCGATGATATATCACCTTATTAAATGCTACTGTGTTATCCTCCGTAGTGGGCCAACAGTAAAGTGACACAGTACTCGCGCTACTTTTCTTGTACGTCAAAAGTAGGACATGTTAAAACCAAAAATATCTAAAGACTAATACTTGTAGAGAGTTAGCACAGAACCCTCTCAGAACCAAAATTCAGCTCGGTCCACTTAATATTATTATTCTGATGAATATACATGCAGTTATATAAGTAATAATACAAATTATCTTTATACGTCACATGTTATAATTGGTATATGCATAAAAGTAATCATAATATTATTATATCATTATTTACAGTAACTGGGGTTATATTTCTAACTGGGTTTATTTGTTTAGTCGGTACCATCTTTTCTATTTCTGAGATTGTTCAGCAACGTTTGCCTTAGACCCCGTCGTGACACGCGTATGTCGACAACTGTTGCCGTTGGCCCAGACCGCGGTTAATCACATGCGGGACCGTCTTCTCAACCATACTGTGAAAAGATAATAAATTATTATTTTAATAAAATTCAACTGCAATTATGTAGGTATAACATGAACTTTACATTTCTGTATGATTTTATTCGAAAAGAAGACCATCATTTAATATAAACTACACACATTTATATGTAGAGGTAGGCTATTTACTTATAAACACTTTCGAAATTAAAATATAATTTAAACATCATTCAATATTATACAAACTGGATTTAAATTATTATTTATTTTAATTTGCACGCAAATATTTGCATATTGTATTAAATTACTAAATTTTAGTATATCGGTGTAATATCGAGTAAGCTACTAATTTGTCAAGATGTGTACTCTTTTTCTCGAAAAACTCTTTTTGGGTTAGTAAAATTGCTAAAAATTATTTGCATTGTGAAAAGATGTGATTATTCAATCGGTGATACTAACATTGTTTGACAAATTTCTAGATTTTTAACAGTTTTTCTGAAAAATTAAAAAAATTGGCTACAAAATATGTCGATACATTAGTTTTGTTATTTTTAATGTTTTCTATATTGCTTTGTATATGAAAAAATAAACGATTAATAATATACTAATACTAATCTGTTAAGAATCATTCTTTGATTTTGATGATTTATTGTTGCTTTCGATTGCATAAATTAAATTACCCAATATCATACACCAGGCAAACTTCTCACGTAGTCCAGAGTTCTCTATCCGTAATGCAAAATTTATGTGTACTGTTTTTTAAAATTTTACTTCGATTAATTTGATAATTACCCTATTACGATGTCAATAATTAACAATACTACCATGAACATTACATATTTAATATCCGTATCACCATAACAGTTGATATTATAAATAATCAGTTGCATGGATATGGAGTTTACAATACACCTAGACGTTATAATTGAAATTGCAGGTTGGGCAGGTGTAGGTTAATAAGAATAACGTTTTAATGGCATTTGGTATCTTCAGTAATATCAATATCAATTAATGAACTAATACTATTTACCTATAGTACACTTTCAATAAGTAAATGAGTAAATTAAGAAATCACAAGCTTTTTCACGAGACCATACACGGTACATTATTAGCCATTGAATTGATACAATTTAAATTTCTAATAGCAAATTTTAGCCAGGCCATTTGCATTAATTGACAATACAATTTGGTGCCTAATTTTCATACTACTAGGCGTAAGGTGAAGAGTTAGACTGGAAAGTTAGCAAAATTGACATCATAAGCTTATCAAACGTAGTTACTTGGAGATACCTACTTATTTGTTTTCCTTTTTAATTCACTAAAAGTAATTTAACCAAGTGGATAACAAAAAAAAATACAGGGGGTATTTTATGAAGGATGTGGGATGGTTGCTTAAATATATTATTATTATTATTATATTGTCACATTACGATATGCATCATTGTTTATAAATGTTTACCACATTACTGGTCAAGGGCACTCAAAGAGGGTGACAGGAGGGACAATTCCCCCCTAGGTTTCCTGCAAGTTAAAATAATTACATTATCATATTATACAATGATGTGTGAACCACTAAGTATAGCCGATCATTTGTGGATATTTTTTGTATACAGCTGATGAACTTGCGGTTATCTAATCGCTGAACTGGAGCTGGAGAGTGTGATTTAATGATCAAAATATTTAAATATCAATATAAATCGGATTATAACCGGATAATAATCCGGACTATGTAAGTTAATTTTACATAGGAAACAAGTCGAAAAACTTAATTTAAGAGAAAAAGTTGTTGACGAATTGGGGCAAAAAATTGCAATTTGTGTTCAACTAATTATAAGTGTAAAATGCAATATTATATTATAATACATTTATACAATTTTAAAAATAAACATAATCTATATGTATACAAATGAATCTCTATTGCCTTTGGTTATGCCATAACTTGAAAACGGATAAACCGATTTGGTTGTTTTTTTTTTTTGTTGTTGTATTCGTTATTGTCAAGTCAGGGTTTTTATGAAAAAACATTTTTAGAAAATTTCCTGAAAATTCGTAAATTTGGATGATTTTTTTTGTATAAAAATCTCAATACTTTTTTTATTTTTAATTTATTCCTATCTCCAAGTTAACCCGTAAGTGAACAAAAATAGTTCAATAACTGATGTTCAGTTTTGATGTCATATTTTTTCATAATAAAAGTAAATTGATGATAAATAAAAATAAAGTTTTGTAGTAAAAAAAATGCCTGGTAAATTTACCAGAAAAATTGAAAATTTGGATACTATTCAAGTTATGGCGTCAGTGCGTCACCAACAAAATTTCGATTAATTTTTATACATAATACTTATAAATTAACAGTCGAGTTATTAATTTTGTATTAACAAAAATTGTTGGAAAATACGTACATAAAGGTATAAAAAGAACACCGTGCCATTTGCAAGTAACGATTTTAATACAGTAAACACCATCTTCCACTGTCAAACGTCCCTACTCTCTGATAGGTTATGTTAGTGTTCATTTCTTTTGAAATCTCTTCCTCCCCAAAATTTGATATATGAACATTTTTGGTATGAAAATCTTTTAGTCCACCAAATTTTGACTACCCACTTTCCACCTATGTTTTTTTTATTCAATACTGATACGGTCAATACTGAAAAGTATTATGGGTAAAACAAATAATAAAAAAATTGGCACAGACAATGACGGGCGGGACAGCTAGTACTTTAATACAAATTAAGGCTGTCTCCCCACACCTCTGAATTTCAACCTCCGGTCACCCTTGTCATTGCTAATAGTGATTAACAGTGCTTATTAAATTATTATTACGTACGTAATGCAACCAGGAATCGGGCAGACGGTCTGGCATAAGGTACAACCCGTGCACGAGTCAGGTTGGACGTGAACTACGTGCGTTTTTGGATCCATCGCGATCGCTTGGTATCCCGAATCGTTGCATGCCATGTAACATTTGCCACAGTTGACGCATGAGTCCTGTAATTTAATAAAATAATATTATTGTGATTTGTGAGCGATGCCTAAAAAAAAAAAATCTGAAAGCGTAGAACTTAGAAATTAAAAGATAGGACTATCTAAACTGGGAAAAGACTCCTTCTCACAAACAATGGCATATCTCATATATATAGAGGGATTAAGAGTTATAACCCCGAATCTCCAGAAATGCTATCAAAATGTTTTTGTTTTTTTTAAATATTGTATAAGTTATAATATGTTTGTAAAATGAATACCCTTTTTGTTGAATTTTCCTCCAAAAATAAACACGTATTGGTATTGTGTCTGTTATACGAGGTGTGTTCAAAAATTGTCAACTTTGTAATAAATCCAAAAAAATGCTTATTTTGGGGTAGGGGGAGTTGGTTGGAGAATATTTTCTTTCATTTTGATGATTAAGATAATAATAATTATTATGGTAAATTGTCAATAAGTTATTGTCATTAACCATACAAACAAATTCCTGAGAAACTTGAACTTGGACCTTCTTCCACATTCTCGAGAAAAACTTTCACTCGGCATAACTGCAATTTTTAAATTACGATTTGTTGGCAAAAGTCTTCTCCACTAAATAAGATTCCGTCAACAAAATGGAAGAAAAAATCCTCTCCCCCTACAAAAAAAGCTTTTCTTTTGGATTTATTACAAAATCGACAATCGCGAAAAAAATATTTTACAAAAACATTGATGATATCAAAACAAAGATGATTATAGACAATCTACAAAAACAGATATACTCTGGAGAAGTCACAAAATCCATTGATATCAATCCTACTGCTCATGGACGCTCCGTTAGTGCGCAATTCAAACAGTCTTGGAACTTTTTGAACACACTTCGTATAGATAGGTTTTTTTTTATCTATTTTTTCTAATTTTGGACATTATTAGTAGCTTCACCTGGGCCGAATAAACTGAAATCCACGAATTAAAGTTGTGTTAAAAAAAAAACCATTTTAAATTTATCGAAGACATATTTTTCAATGTTTACCGCTTCCAGATTTTGCTAACCGCAAAAGAAAAATCACCTCATTAACCAAAGCAACGACCTGGGCACGCTGGTCGAGTACTTTGTACGCGCCAACTGTTTTTAATCCACACCCTATGACCCGTTCTATGGGCGTCGTTATAGTTGGAGTCTTCTTCACTATATCCTTGTCGACGTCCCCTATCGGTGTCGAAACATTTGCTACTGTCATCACATTTTTCAACGGTGCATTAGTAGTTCCCTCCATCATTTCAAGCATCTCGGCTGCCACCTTAACTGCCTTGGTACAACGCTGATCCCGCAAATAAGGGCCGAACTTTGGTTTGCCACTCATTTCATTACCATTATACTCTGAGACATCCGACGCCACTAAATCGTAGTCATCGGAAAGGTCGATCGTGTCCTTAACCAGTGCAGCGGTCGGTCGACGACGTTCATGCTGTTGACTGTCACCCCGACTATTCATATACAACAACGCCTTCAGCCCAGTTATATAGTCTTGGACGATGGTAAAGTCCTGGTTCTGGACAGCACTGCACACCTGCGTGCAATATGTCATATTAATACCTAATTCCGTGACTATAGTTATAATAAAATATAATAATGACAGAAATGTATGGAGTTAGACGCGGTAAACAAAATGTGAAAAATATTAACCCGGTGATATTATTTTATTTTTACCATACTTACTTTAATAATATAGAATTAATTAATTAATTAATTAATTTCATCAATTTTTGGGTGTATATAGGTGGGTGACTATTGTGTGTATAGCAATATTTATACCTGCACGACTTTAGCACCACAATACAGGTATTGTAGTGTGGCTGCGGCACTGTCCACGCCACCCGTAGCCATAATTTGAACTGGTGGACCTCCGTCACCACCGGATTCTGGTCCTAGGGCACGGGCTAAGGCCGAAACCGCTCGAAGCCCGATTGGACGGACTGCTGTGCCCGACATACCGCCGTACGTGGTACGACGTTGTGTATCAGAGGCATTACCTACTCCCGGCCACGGTAAGCTGTTTTTCTCACCGGCCACGTACAGTGGTCCCAGAACGGAGACCGTGTTCACTGCCGTAACTCCGTCGGCTCCGCCAAGACGTACTGCAGCCCGACCTATTGTCACTACATCTGTCACGTTAGGCGTGATTTTCACGAACACGGGCACTGATGTTTTAGTCCCGTTAACCGTCCTCACCGCTGCACGCTTGACCCATCGCGAAATATTCTCCACCAAAATAGGATCCTATACACGGTTAAACAAAATGAATGCTATACCAATATTATTTGTTCACCATATACGTGGCGACTGCTGTCGTACCTGACCGCACGCTAAACCCATTCCGGATTCACCCATTCCATGAGGACAGCTCAGATTCAATTCCAGTGCATCAGCCCCTGCGTCACACGTCAAACGAGTTAATAAAGTCCAATCGCTTTCGCTATACGCACACATAATGCTCGCTATTAGGATCTATAAAATCGTTTATCATGTTACGTTGGTATTGTTTTTATTGGTAACGTTTTACTCACATGTCGTGGAAAATCGCGTTTCAACTCTCCGATAGAACGCAACCAGTATTCCGCTTTCTTTTCCGAAATCAGTTCTATGTTTAAAAAAGCGCTCTTGGCTACATCAGGGTCTCCGGCGGCAATATCGCCTCTGACTCTATTTCCCACACTGTGGTTACCAAGTCCCACGATACGCGGAGACACGTTTGTCACCAGATCTTTATCCAGTCCGAATGTTTTGGTTACAGCAAACGCCCATCCAGCCTGGAACGCCCTACGGATCATCGCAGCACTAGTAGTAGGCGGAGCTGAAGCCAACCCAAACGGATTTAAGAATTTTAGACCACACATCCGGACGGACAAATCCACATCATCGATTGCGGTTCGGAATCCGGGTAACAATATTCGTGGATCCGGCAGTTTTCTATTTCGTGTGCTCCGGTAACCGTACATCTCCTTCGAATGCCAATTAGTATATTAATAAATCAACTATAGGGTGGATCCAGGACAAGATGACAGAGGGGGGAGAGTGATTTGAAAATGCATAAAAAGCACTAATTTATATAATAAACATCATATAAATCCCCCTCCCTGGCAGTGGCGAATTTATAGGGGAGATATGAGAAATAGATCTCCTCCCGTGCCTTTTTTATGTATAAACACACATACAATAGATAACACATTTTGTAATCTGTTATGTGATATACTAATCTACTTTTACATTTTTAACAGTTAAATATATAATATTAAACACCGACATTAAATCACTTTGTTATTCTGTGAGTATCATTACACAATAATAACAACAAAATCAAAATAGGGTTTTCAAAAAAAATATTAATTTAAACTGTTTGTAAATATTGTATGTCACGGTTTGTAATTATAGACTAGACTGAATGAGTTAACTTTACTATCTTGTTACAGTGGAGTTGAGGCCAAGCCAGGCGAATTTTTCATGTATGTATAGAAATAGAAAACTTGAATTCATTTTTTAAATTAATAAAATAAAATATTAGAATATAAATACTGTATTAATTTTTATTAAACCTCTACACGGGAGAAACTAAAGTCAAAAGATTGCTCCAATTTGATTTTATGATGAAAGATTATTTTTGGGTGTGATAGAAACTTTCAAAGTATTTAAACATTTTTAGGGGACTATTATTAAGTTAATAAGTTTTGAAATGTCATTAGGTCTCTTAATACTTAATACTTCGAAAGTCTATGATGGCTTTAGGAAAAATTTAGGCTCTAAAACATATTATTTCATATATCTCTCCTCAATAAAATCCTATATACGCTTCTGCTCCCTGGATTCGTTACTGATATTAAATATAATTATGTATATCACTGAGATAACTGTTTACCTGCAGGTATTCGTGTATGTGATACGCTGCCGTTTTACCGTCGTTAGCCGACTCCACTGTGGTCTGTGACGAGTTGGCTCCAGAACCTATCACAATAGAAGCGTCACCACCACACCAAACGGGTGGTCGGTCTTGTTTATTATCGGCCACATCTTCCACGTTCGTCTGCCATTCACAACGCCCAGTTTGAGCATCGATGCATACTCGTCCGGTTCGGGGATCGATACGGGCGTAAGGTGCCAGCGCACCTGTCACTAAACATGCAGTATACACTCATAAGATGATCAGTGAAGTCTAGAAATTATATTATGATCTTAAAGTATTACTAATCATTTTGAACTCACCTTCCGGTGGTAGACGCGATCCAAACGCTGATACGACACAATCTGCGCGCAAAGTGAACATGTCTTCAGCCGAATGGTCTTCGTCCTGGGAATCCAATGCATCTAAGTCGTCCACATCTGTTCGACGGAACTGTACAGCTCGGATCCGGTTGTAAGTCTCGCCATTAGTAACTTTATGGAAAAGAAATTTAACCGGTTGCGCATGCGGTACGAGTTCACAACGTTCACGCATCGCTCCTTCCAATTCTTCCGGAACAGCACGTACGTCTGGAGTTCCACGTCGAAAAACAACACGAACACGACGGGCACCACATCGGAGAGCGACTGTCGCACAATCCATGGCCGTGTCACCCGCGCCCAGAACCAATACAGTTTTTCCACGGAAGTCCGGTGGTAACAGCACAGGGGTCGCTACTGATTTACCACAGCCAGAAGCGCAACCACCACTGCCACAACCCCCTTGATCTTTGGCACCGGCATTTGTGGGCAGTCGCTTGGAGTACCCCGAAGCCCGGTGCAGTAACCATTTGGATGTATACACGCCTGTTTTTTCTGCAGAAGTCGTTCCGTCGATGTCAATTTCACTTAAAAGTTCAGTCGGGATTTGTGGCTCCGGCAAACCGACCGACACGAATACGGCTTTCGCTCCGTCTGGACGTTCTATTAAGTCCTTGAATAAGTGAAAACAATTTTTATTAAAACGTTACCTAAAGTAATTAATATGTATGCATACTCAGTATACACTGTACACACACACACCTTTAGTGTAAAGTCACCAGCTTTACCGTCATCAGCGGTGGCGGAAAATAGCCGACGTCCATATTCTAAGCGAACGTTACCGCGACCGTGCTCTACCATTTGATCGATTTCCCAACGGACTGCTCGCCACGGTAACCGGTATTCTGGTATTTCCGAGGCACTAATACAATTTAAGAACACAGTATACACACCAACCATAATTTACCGATCAAAATGGAATAGCTATCTAGACGACAGATTTATACCTGAGGCCACCTGCGTGGCTTCCTGACTCGTAAACAGTGATACACTTGTATCCGAGTCGAGATAAATACGTAGCACAAGTCAACCCTGCCGGGCCTGCGCCCACCACGGCTATTGGAGCCAATCTGCTTTGGCCTCGAGCTTTCAAAGTTTGGTGATCTTCACTTTCAGTGTCATCACTGCTATCGTCTGCGTTATCCGAAGATACCGACGAGGGCGGCACGGCCATGTCCATAAACATCTGTGAATTTGAACTGGATGTTAAAAATCTACCGAATTCAAACCGTTTTCAAAAAATGTCCTAGGATAACGGGGATGAGTGCAGCCACTGTTATAGGTAATTTAATGTATACCTGTAAGCAACGATAAATCATTTCAAACGAAAAAAACGATTCTGAGCGGAGTTCAGTCGATAGTGATGCTTTGTCAACAATATATTGTATGTCATATTATGGTTAAGTAATTAAATAGGCATTATATTATATATGTTCTTTAATAATATTTGTTTAATTTTGTACCGATTTTCCCGTTTATATTACGTTTTCTCGATTTTCTCATGTTTTTTCCCGTTTTTTTTTTTTTACATTTTCTGGTATAACTCTTGGGAAAATCAAAAATATACCTTTTTACGTCCCCAGTAAGATTTCCTTTTGAAAAAAGTGCTAACATTGTTGGAGCAACATTGATGGTAGAAAAGTTGTTCACAGTGTAATGATATGCTATTTAAGCTATCATACATTACGTAAAATAAAATATTATGTAATGTTAATAAATCAAACAATTAATAACAGGAATGATAGTAAAACATTTACATCCGATTTCATTCTTTTTTATTATCAAATAACATATATTTTAGTACGATATTTACTCATCGTAAGGAGATAATACTTAAGCTATCATATATAATTAAAATAAATTATATAATCAATATTGTAAAATAATTATAATAATTTGTAGCCATTAATTATTAGATTAAGTTGTTAGTATTAACCAAATNCACAGTGTATGTATTGTTCCCGTTGCTTTTGGACAGATGATCACAAGCGAGTGTAAAAGACTACGCAGAGATTCTTACAAAAGCACGGGAACCTAGAACAGTATTTTATATTTAAAAAATTAATAAAATAGAAACAGTTATTATATTGAAATCTTTTTATTTACTACGGTCACCTATATCAAATTCAACAGATCAATTTGCCGCCTGAAGAAGAAAGGTAATCAAATTTATAGTTAACTTATACGTGTGAATCAGTTTTATATAACTAGGCACTCCCCGCCTTATTTTTGAATTACTACAACAGGAAAAAAAAAGAAGGCCGTAATATATTGTTTTAATTAATACCTACATTTCGTACATTTTCCCATTTTCCTTCTTTTTTTTTCAGTTTTTCACATTTATTGAGAAAACTCCTGGAAAAATCGAAAAATGACTTTCTTAAAGTACCTATCCACGCTGATTCCCTTTCAGAAAAGGCGCTATACATAAAAATCGGAGCAATTTTTCTGGTAGAAAAGGCGCACGGAAAATAAAAACATCTTTGTAAAACTATAATAACTATACATAAGCTTCTTCACTCCACTCAGAATCTAAAACTTAACATGAATATTATAAATGTACGTGATGTAGATATACAATGTAAACAAATTATAAAAAAAAATGTCACTTACTTCCAGACAAAACTGCTGCAGACCTCCAATGTTGATGGGACCGCCGTCTGTACCAGCTAGATTGCAAGAGCCAGCGCATAATTCACTCGTTGGACACACCATACCACAAGAAAGGCCTACTGGATTGTCGGACAGAATTATCTTGGCGGCTCCATAATAGTTCTGTGCAAATCACGTTTAAAATTATTAAAAACGAAAATCTCTATAGTCCATACATTACACATAATTTCATATTATAATAAAATATAATTATAACATAGTATATTATGATAAGAGGACGTTATACCCGCGTTACTGTCTCAGTCCAATTACCGAGTAATATGCAAAAAAAAATGCTTACGCAGAATAAGTAAAACTAGATTAATTTTTACTTCCTTAAAATATGTACATTTAGCTCACTGCTTCGAAGAACGTAGTTATGTAACAAGAAATTTGAAAATATAATAATGGTAATGATAGCAAATAAAAATTCACTACCTACGTTCTAACCGTTGAGACTGAATTGATTATTTTCCCGAATTAATTTTTTATAATCCGTAAAATAATAAACATCATTAAATAATATTAATTATTTATTTATTTAATTTATTTAAAGTTTTAACATCCCAAATGAATATAGCCACATAGATATATAAAAGATTATAGACTAAACCAATCCAATATCATGGATCTAGATACTAAATATTTAAACAGAAAAAAAGAGAAATAAAGGGGAAAAAAAGAAACAATATATATACGCATACAATTAATACAATTAAGTTTAACTACTATTCATTATTATATTTTTTCAATTTAAATTGTGAATTACAAAATAAATCAAAATTAAATATGTAATAATGTCTTGCATGAAAAAAGCGACTAAGAAACGACGATTATTTCTTGAATTAAAAGTTGACATTTTAAAATTAATCTTCTTTGGGATTTCTGGACAGGATAGTTTACCATTTATTAATTTATGAACAAAAGCTATAGCTTTATGTAATCGTATAGGATCATTGGATCCTAAACCGAATTGTATAGCTAACAGTATTGAGATTAGACAAGTACTTTTTTATCTAGATAAAAATAAAGATAATATGATACAAAATAATCTAGATAAAGATAAATACATTTTTATCTAGATAAAAAAGAGATACATTTTTTTTAATACCTACTTTTAAGTCCAACTTTTTGAGAGTACACCTTAGATACTACTTAGTACTTCAATATTAGTTTAACACCGGCTATATGTTTAAATTAATGGTAGTAACAGACATTATTATTAATCAATAATTAAAGTAAAACTGAACAAACATTTTCAAAATTATGTATAAATATAAAGAAAAAAAATATTTTACACGGCTCGTCACAGTATATTTTAATTGTTACGAATCTTCACAACTGTATGTATTTAAATTTATATTAGTAGATATATAATTATTGTTATTAGATAATATACATGCAATGTCATTTATACTATGAACATTGCATAGTATACCTATACTATACAATAAATAAAATAACACTTTATTTGATGTTATGGTATAACATATTATATAATTTATACACATGTGATATAAATTATTTATAAATATAATATTTAAAGTATTTAAAGAAATAATTATCGAAAAATTTAATTGACAATGAAAATATATAGTTGAAATATATATATAATTGTATAGAGACGAATTTATCTAGATGGATGAATTTTTTATCTTAAATAATTAATTAGTTAATGATTAATTATCTAAGATAAAATAAAAGATAATTAAATATTTATCTAGATAAGTCTCAACACTGATAGCTAAGGTATCTAGGGGGATGTCCACTTGACATAATTTATATGCCATGACCTTAAAAAAGATACAGACATACTTCGCATGATGGGTGAGACTACTGAGGTAGGTGCGAAGTTAGAAAGGTAGGATACATACGGGAACTCAATGTATATCTGTACACAGCTATTAATCTTTGCTAACGAAAAACTATTTTGAGCGGAGTTCGGTTATACATGTTTTGAAAAACCATAATATTTTATGACTTTAAAATAATAAATTTCGTAAATTTTCATGTTTTTCTTGATTTTTCTTTTTTCACCTCCAGTTAAATTGGATAGTGATAAAAGACGTTTGATTTGATTTATTTTTTTTTCGCACTGAAGAACGTAAGGTTATTGTAATTTGCAATTTAAATTGGTGAAATAAATTATTCAGTTGAAATAATATTTTTACTTAATTTATACATTTTACTTTTTTCCGATTTATTTATTCTTTAGCAACTTTAGCATTTTAGGATTGCCCACTTTCTACCTACTTTTGATTCGTCCAAGAATGGTACGGATAAAGCCAGGCGGGACAGATCGTATACAATGTAAACATCTTTATATACTTAGTACATACTATAATAACATAAAAGCTATATGAAACATTTGAAAATGATAGGTACTACTAATAGTACAGTAGTACGTCCATTATTCATTAGTCCAGTGGTTCTCAACCGGGTTGAAATGTCACCTTAGGGTGACATTTAGTAGTTCAGAGATCAGGAAATCACCGGGTAAAATAATAAGAAAACTTAATTTTTTAGAATAAAATCGTATTATTGCCATCGCTGTCAAATAACTGCTCACGCCATCCGAGCAACGTAATATTCCCTCCCCATCACTCACTTTTCAATGATACCGTTCCTTGAATGTCTTATAATTTCAAAGTCGGTTGTTGTCGATAAGGGTGACATAAATCAATATAGGCTGAGAACCATTGATCTAGTCTGTTATACTCTTTTTTTTTTATTATTTTTTTTTTTTACTGAAACTATCGGTGAAGTATCAGTTTTGAAATAAATCCGATATTTTAACTTTCTTAATATCGGCCGATACACGATATCAGCTTATACCGCTAATAACCACTAAATATAATATGGTACCTGGTTGGCGATGCTCGTGATAAACGCTTTGACATCGATGGACGTTGGACACGATAACTGACACGGAGCGTGAGCGCACTTAAGGCAACGACGAGCCTCCCTCACCGCCGCCCGCTCGCCACCTCGCAGAGTGCTGGGCTTGATATCCGTCCACCACTGGTTCCACAAACCGCCAGCACATCCTTTCACGGCGTCCTTGGTATCCTGCGGATATAACGAAAATTATTTTACAAAATATAATTATCGTATTGGTATACCATTGTGTCAATAGCAATGTTGGGTGATGTCATCACATATTATGTGATATATTCGGGCTGATAACAAAAACCATGATAGTTACTTAAATACGAACAGTAGGTGTAGAACCCATGAATTATATTTTCCGTTTACTTCTTGTACAAATTTAAAAAATACGAATGAAATTCAATTTTCAAAGAATTTAAATGCCAATTTTGTATAACATTATATGCTAGTTAGTTTAGGTTGCCTGGTAAAAATTCGTTGGGTAGGTATAAAAAATTTCCATTTAATTTTAATTTTAAAAATGACAGACATACTTCGCACCTGGGTACAGCTATTGTTGTAGGTGGGAAGTTGGGAAGGTAGGATACATAAGGTTATTTCATTTATATCTGTAAGTAACTATAAACTATTGCTGACTAAAGACAATTACGAATGTAGTTCGGTAATACATAATTTGAAGTGCCGTCATTTTTTTTACGATTTTCGCAAGAATTTGATTTTAAAACACTTATTAAAAAAAAAGTTGTTCAATGATTTTGGAAATTTTACCACGTCTAGGTAAGTCCAATATAACTATTATTATTAAGTTTCAAGTCTCTACGTGTATTTATAACCAAATTACAGCAAACAAACTCCCAAAAATTAAAACTCCTTAAAGCTCAAAAGTTTTGGTAATAATACTGCAAGAAAGTAAATCAAAAATGCAAAAAAAAACGTGATTTGTTATTTTTTGATTAAATCATTTTTTCTTGTAAAAACGTTGTCCGTGTTTTTATAAAATAATAAAATCGTGAAATTATACGTTTTTCCACTTAAATGATCTCTTTAAAATACCATCTAGACAACTTCAGCTTTCAGAAAAGTTGCTACACATAAAAACTGGAGCAATTTTACTAGGAAAAACCGTGTCCACAGACTAGAACAAAGAACAAAGAAAAAGAAAAAAAAACACCTTTGTAAAACCAATAGCTCCCTCGCTACGCTCGAAATTTAAAAAAAAGCTGATACTGCTGCGATAGGTTTGCCACTGTTGTTGAAAAGATATTATAAGAGAGGATCAGGATGTATAAAGTAATTTAATTACTACCTGTACACAACAATAAACCATAACAAAAATAATTCTGAGCCGAATATTATTAATCATGTTTTATAAATGTGTGATTTTTTTTTTTTTTTATGTATTGAAATATCATTCCATCGAATCACTGGATGAAATACCTCGGCGTACGACGAATTGCGCTTGTAGTGTTCGCGGTCCTTGATTGTGACGATAGACGGCTTGACTGTGGCTCGGGCTCGGGCTAGTCCGGATCCTGCAGCGGCCGTCGGTTCAGTTTCGTCAGTTCCCACGTCGTCTAGACCGTTGTTAGCACGGGTCTCGACCGCTGCGGGCACAGTCGTCCACTGGCAGCCGGCCAACGGTTTAGGGTTCAACCGGAGCAGCTCCTGAGAATGTATTGAAAAACTCAATCAATTTCGCTAAAATTCGAACTTCAAAAAACGTTTACAAACAATAATAATTTAATACGCGAGTCGTGATTTCCAAATTAAATTTGTTTTAAAATTTATTAATATATAGGCATAACACCTATACTTATCTTGTGATAATACTTAGACCAGTAATGCAATAATTCAGTATGCATTTTTTTTTTTTTTTTATGATCCCGGGAAACTATTCTTAATATTTATTTATTACGTATATTTTCTAAATAACAGTTTTTAAATATATACATGTGAACTGGTTGCCGGTCTCCGCGTCACCTATATAGGCCGTTGTCGAGGCAGTTAGTATGGATAATTTTTCGATTAGAAAATGGTCCGACTTATTTCACATAAAACCTCTAACATTTTTCAACTGATAGTACTTTATTTGAAACATTTTTCAAAAGACCTGACTTTTTAAAATTTTCTTTTTAATTTAAATTGAAATTGTTTCACGCAACACTAGGTGTGATGTCAGAGGAAACTTTTGTGGATCGGCCCCCTGTAATACGCCTATCGTCATGCCGAGATCAGTCCGTGGTTGTTATCAAATACTGAAATACCTGCAGTGTGCAATATCACTGTATCAGATGTCAGTCGTATGCATCACTATATTATGAATAATTATTATTATTGGTAGAATATTACGACTCGCCTCGATGTCGAGCGGATCTTTACTGCAGTAACTGCTGCTGTAATCAACTCCTACTCCGACGGGATTCAATGTTGCCGTGGCCTCCGTGGTTGCCATCGTTCCGCTTCTATAATACTGCGTAATTGATCAGTATATACGATAAGTAAATACGTATAACCGACAGCTAAACAAACATAAAACATGTCATAAGTACCTGCTTCTTTTATATTATTTGCGAAAGGTTATAGGTATAAGAGCATAAGCATTTACCACTAAACGTGGTAAAATGTTCAAAAAATTTAAGCCGTGATTGAGGTATTTATAGATATTTTAATTTTGAGAGTTTTGTACGTAGTATTTATTCGGTAGGTAAAATTTTAAAAAATGCTTGAAAATTTAACAAGAGTCTTACATTGTTGTCAAAAAAAAAAAAAAAATAAATAAATAAATAGTGTTTAATGTAGTCTTTTTTTTATATGGGAATTTTAATAAAAATCGTTTGAGTCAAAAATTATTTAAAACAAAACTAATTTTTTTTTTTTTGAACACATGTAGATATATGGCCGATTTTAGAACGATGGTAAAGTCAGAATTAAATGGAAAATGGACTGATTAAGTTTCGAAATAATAGCTTTTTGAAGTTCTGATATTATGTTGATATTATATGTTATGTTAAATAACTCTATATTGTCTTTAGAGCATATCTTGTCACGATCTAATGGTTATTTATACTTATTATTATCCTAGAGGTTCCGAGTTCAAACCATTGTGTCGAAAAAATGTTTCGCATTTTTTTCTCTTTTACTTAAACAAGAGAAAAACAAATCCGTTTTGGATGTACTTAGAGACTGAAGCCATTGTTCCCTATTTTATTCGCAAAATACCCCTCGATTTTTTGTGCAAACTTTTCTACCAGAAATATTGCTCCGATGTATCAAGTGTAGCTTATTTTCTGAGAGAAAATTTTAACTCAATGGTAATTTAGAGAGATCATTTTTTTTGATTTTTCAAGCGACTTTCATAATATCTGGAAAAAACTGGGAAAAAATGCTTAAAAAACGTAAAATGTACCAAATGTACGAAATGTTGGTATTAGTAAAAAAAATATTACGATATTATTTTTCTGTCAACAACTTCTCTACCAGCAATTTTGCTCTGATTTACAATGATAGCACTTTTTCTAAAAGGAAATCTGACTGGGGAGGTACTTTAAGAAGTCATTTTTCGATTTTACCAGTGGAAAACGTGGAAAAACTAGAAAAACGGGAAAATCGGTACAATATTAAACAAATATTATTAAAGAAAATGCACAATGCCTATTTGATTAGGTATTTTACCATAATATAACATATATATTTATATTATTGATAAAGCATCACTATCAATTGAACTGCGCTGAGAACCTTTTTTTCGTTAGCAGTGGTTTATCGTTGCTTACAGATATACATTAAATTACCTATACAGTGGCTGCACCCATCACCATTATCTTAGTACGATTTTTTTTTTTTTTTTTTTTTAATGAATCTTTCCGAAATTTTAATAGTTATTATTTTATTCGGTCGGCCGTGTTCTTGAGTTATAAGCGGTGTTACTAACCCGACTTTTTTTTATTTTTATAGATAAATGTATTATATTTGTAATAAATTATTAGGTTGGTATGCGGTATTTCTGTTACCTTTGTATTTTTGTATGGGGGCTTAACCCCTGTTGCTTTGTACGCTACAAAATATTTACCTCCCCCCTCCCCTTCTAATTTGCCAGGATCTCCGTCAATGTACCAGAGTTAGGTACTGAGTCTTCTTTAGTCACATCACGTACACTCGATAGTGATTTCGGGTTACGCACACATTGGATTCCGCTAAATTATATTGCGTTGTGTACTTACGGGCGACTGAACACGCAATAACAATATCGTCTTATTCTGTTATTGTCCACTTGTAACTCGTGAACGCGTCAAACGCGGATCGACGTGAGTCGGACTTCGGACGGTCTTCAACGGAGCACCGTCGTCGATATCGGTACCGATTACACGGCCACACGGACAAAAGAGCAAAAGAGGGTATTCGGTATATTAATGTCGATTCGCGGAGTGCGCGCGGCGCACAATGTTATACGGAGACGACTGGGCTCGGTCGCGCGAACGTACGCACTGCGCGTACACCGCTGGGTTAAACTACGATGAGAAAAATAATTCACGACTACGGCGGGGAAACGATAGACCAGAATGTTATCATAACGGGTGTAGAAGGCGCCTGCGATTGTCAATTATCGAACAAAATTACGCCAAGCAAACACGCCTACTAAACGAGTGCGTTTCAACGGCGCACGTCGCGAACACGCGGCGGCCACGGGCGATCGTATTTTATATCGTTCGTCAATCACCACCACTCCAGTCCGCCGGTTTTAGTTCAAGCGTTTGTTTTTCTCGTTTCTCTCTCGCTCTCTACCGGTCAATCCGATGCAAACACGCAAACACGATACAATAATAATATTACGTTATTTATGATAAAACGCGTAGGTGATATAACGCAGTGGCGTATTTAGAATTTTACCAAGCAGAGAGAGTTATTATTGAATTTCCAGGAAATTGTGTGACAAACCGTCACGATATCGTATTCTGTAACGCATACCGATCTGTCTAAACAAAACGACGCATTTTAAATTTACATATTATTTTTCACGCGTAATTTTATTATTCCAATTTTCAAAATATGATTTAAAATTATCATTAAAGTCAAATAATTACACCAAGTAACAGTGTTATTATTAGTTTATTTACTATATTTATTAATTTAGTTACTATTCGAATCTCGTTCGTAATTGATTAGTTCGGATGAATTTCGTTTTAAAAAAAAAAAAAAGAAGATATTATTATAATATATTATATTCAAGGTTTTCTTCGATAACATATTATTCACTAAGTACCAGTACATTATTAATTTTTTCCGGTTAAAAAGCAATTTGAACTTAATCAAATCATATAAATAATAAACGATAACAATAGGTCAAAGGGGAGGTATATCTCTATGATTTCACCCATTATATACGCCAATCTTATAAGATAGGTATATTTTGTTACCCGAGCGTATGATTTTCCGTTGTTGCCTAATACTGTACGCCCGATCAGTGACGCGTGACCGGAGAGGTGGTCGGAAGTTATGCAATTTAAGCTTTTCGTTTACGAATCCTTATAAACGCAGAAAAATTTGAATATCAGCGTATAATTGTTCTTAAAAATTGTAATCTTACATAGCCTGTACCTACGAATTTTGTTATTTATGTTTTAGATTCTGAGTGAGCAGCAAAAGAAAGGCTATCATTTTTACAAATCTGTGTTTTCAGGAGACAAATTTTTTTCGCTAGTAAAAATGCTCCGAACGCTTCATATACCACGCCTACATTAAAATGAGTAGATTCTATATATCCCCAACAGATTTCCAAACTTTTTTTTTTTACTGTTAACAAATGACGGTGGATCGGATTTATATTTATCGGTTTTTAGGTTTGGTATCTAGACTATATGCGGAAAAAACACGTCCAATATTATACGTTTAAACTTAACCAGATTACAGAACTCAGCAGTTCCCTTAAAATCATTTTTAGATTCTGAGTGGAACGAGAAATGTATTGGTTTTACAATAATTTTTACTTTTTTTTTTTTTCTGTGCACAACATTTCTACCATAAATCTCGTTCCAATGTTTAAGTGTATCAATTTTTCTGAAAATAAAATCTAACTGGAAAGGTACTTTAGGAAGGTCAAGTTTGATTTTCCCAGGAGTTTTCCCAATTAAAGGGAAAAACAAGGGAAAGTCGCGAAAACGTAGGAAAAACAGGAAAATAGGTACAATAACAAACTTATTTTACCATAATTACATATTATATAATATATATTATTGACAAAGCATCACTATCAACCGAACTACACTCAAAATCGTTTTTTCGTTATCGTTGCGTACAGAGTCCCCGACGTTATCAGGAATAAAACTTCCCGAATATCCTTTTTCCCGAAGGTCGTTTTTTTCCGAATGGTATACTTCGCGAACGGTATATAGTATATTTCTCGAATAGCGTATTTCCTTTCCCGAATAATAATAATATTGTTTTTACTTAATTATTTTATTATTAATAGAATATATTAATAGATAATAGAAAAAAAAATTGTTTTTATGCAAATTATTATAATCTCCACAGGTAAATTTTAATTTAAATTGATTAAAAATACACAAATTCACAATTTTAATATGAAATACACAAAATGTATAATACTATAGTATTATAGTATAGTAAAAATGAATCAAACGAAAAAAATACAGCAGCAGTTCAATATTTGAAATATAAAACAAACTGAATTTTTATTCAATTTTCTACCATATTCGGTAATATATTATTCAGGAAATATACCATTCGGGAAAAATAATATTCGGGCCAAAGGGTTCGTGAAATATGGTTTTGAGAGGAGAAATACTATTCGGGGTACATTCGATTCGGGAATAACGGAATTCTAGAAAAGGGTGTTTGGGAAATGTGATTCGAGAAAAATACCAGGAATCTGCATAGAGATACACATTAAATTTCCCCTCTACTACCTTCTCGACTTCTTACCTATAACAGTGGTTGCACGCGTCCCCACTATCCTAGGGCAGCTTTTTTGATAATAATAATACTTATTACATATATTTCTCTCAGTATACATATATAGGTATAAAGTATAAACTAAATTATCATATTATACCTTACAAATTTCCTACAACAGTCTTCAAACACACATGGTTATTGTTTTAAATAAACCACATGATAATCAAAAGTTGATCATTATTATATTGATATTGTACAGTGATACTTGATGTAATGTCGTTGACCACTATTAAAAATATTCTTATAATAGTATTATTAATTATTTGTAAACTTCACGATGCTAATGTTAGTGTAATGTATCTAATTAAACACTCGATTGTCGACGCCGTAATTTTATATCACGACCGGCACGCCGCGTAATTTATTTTCCACCATTGTGTTATACAATAATAATTATTTATACGGTCCAACAATAAATTATTAATTGTAATATGTACACGCACCCGGACGTCAATTAAAGCTTGATTAGCAATGACAAATAAATATTGTCGAAAAAAAATTGAACGAATTCAATTCTGTCGCTTTCGTCAATTAACTGGGTCAACGGCTCGTATATATTTGGACTATGAACTGATCTGAAACCGTAGCAAAATTATTTGAATACAGATTGGATACATTTATAAAATTAAACAAATTTTATTTATCATTGAAGTCTAGTATGTTAACGACCGTTAGAAACATCTAACAATACGAATTCCCACGTGTGAAGTGTCGTCGTCAATTGGACATATAACTATAAAATTCATCATCGAACTATAATCGTGTTATTTGTGTTACTACCTTCTTTTTTTCACATCACATAGAGTATGATGTAAAACGTGAGATCTTTGGGACGTCTCGTCACCCACCCTTAAAGTCAAAGAGTATCCTGCGCGTCCAGGCCGCGTTAGATATGTAGCCCCACCTGTTTCCCCATGTGCTGATCACGATACGTGATATCACGCTCGGTTTTCCGGATATCCTAGGACGAATCGGTCCTATCCGGATCTTCCAGCTTGGCCCAGATCTTCTTTCTTTCATAGGCAAGAAGGTCTCCCGGAGGAGTATCCGCGAGAATGATGGTCGCACCGGCTGAGACTATGCTGTAGGCCCGGGTAACTAGAGTGCTGCAGTTCGGTGGACCCAAGTCATGGCATTTCGGCAGATGGCGTGTATGTTCACCTAGTTAGCCCATCCACATGTCGATTGACGGTCCCAGTCAAAGCATCCGAGATAAAAGGAACGCCAGATCGTCAGCTAAGCTAACCAGCCGTTACGGACTCTGTTCTTTACGTGTAAAGTTTATTAATTATAAATTAAGAATTCCATGCGACAAGATATGAAATCGGTCGTCGCATTAAGTGTACGCACGTTAGGGCCATTAATACAGATGTGGATAACCGACGACGTTCCCATGCAACAACGGATGATACGTGTTCATGGGCCATAGGAAAACGTGTTCGGGTACGGATGACGCACCACCAGCTGACAACGGCGGTAGCGTCCACCACCACTTAGGTTCCGATTGAGGCGACAACCATATATAAGGAGACCGGAATCATCACCAGGGCAGAACCTGAACTCAGTCAGGAGTCGAGATAGCTACACCACCACCGACGCACGTGAAGAAGGAGCACTGTCACCTCGTCACCAACCCGTTCAGTCATTTCTTTAATGTACTTATACCTGATAATTACAACTAAGACTTGACCCGGGTCTGATGTCGCAGGGTTTTCACTTATAGATACAACTTGTCAACCGTGTTTTGTTTAAATTCTAATAAAAAACCATTTGTAGACCTAAAACACGTGTACATCTTCCCATTGAAAGGCTGTGTCCGAACAGCCCGTAACACAGCTGAACCCCCGCCAGGACGTCAAGTTTGGGGAGGTCATCGTTAAAGACGTTGCACAAGGTGAGCCAGAGGAATGCCTGATGGAGCTAAAACCGGCACACTGGCATACCGTGAGGGTGTGATTTCCCATATAGGAACAAAGAATTTTAACTAGGTATCCGGAGACACCCCTATTCCAAAGAGACGCATCAACGTGGACCCAAGGAACCGAGTTAACAATAGTGTATTACTTACATAATATTGTTTATCATAATAATATTATTATGCTAAAATACATACAATATAATATGTAAAACGAAGAAAAAATGATGGAAATATTTCATATGACGGGCAGGATATATAGAAGGGAATTAAATTTATATTTGTACGCAACAATAAACCATTATTAATGAAAAACGATTCGGTAATGCCATGGCAATGACGAAAACCGTCAAAGTGATGGCACTTTGACGGTTTTCGTCAAAATTTGATTTCAATACACTTATGAAAAAAAAAAAATAATGTATTAAACTCAGTTTTTTTTTTAAGCTTGAGTTAAATGTTCAAGCATATTCAAGCCATATTATTTTCAATTACAGACACCTAGCAAATAAAAATACATATAAAAACACGATAATATCAAATACCTATGAAAAGGGTAAAAATATCGCAAATGTTTTTAAATTTGACCAGGTCTACAAATGCCAATATAAGTATTTTGTGGAAATTACAGGTCTCTACAATCATTTTTAATCTAATAACAACAAAAAACTGAAACAAATATCGTACATTTATTTCCTACGTTTTTCCCCATATTTTCGTAATTAGTAAGAAAATTATACTTAAAATCTAACAACAAATTTCTTAATCACCAA